CTCCTCCTCCTCCTCCTCCTCCTCCTCCTCCTCCTCCTCCTCTGCCTCCTCTGCCTCCTCCTCTGCCTCCTCCCTTTCTGCTTAACGTCCGTTGCAGACGCCTTCTGCAAGTATGCAGTCAAATAATCTATAGACAAATAGAATAAATCAAAAATAGAAAGTTAGATCTATGAGGCGAGAAAACTGGTAGATGGCAGGAACATTTCTAGAAGGGGGCCATGGCTATGGTTCTTGGACCCTACTATCGATGTTTCACGAAAATGGCCGGTGTATGATATTGGCCGCGAATGTAGCCTCCAGTGCGGACTTTATATTCTCATCGTCTATTGATCATTATCCTGAGTCCGAATATACAAATTGACAGGAAGATTGCCCCATATGAGGAAATGCTGTCGAGAATTAGCTACGGATTTGTATAATGGGCTTCAACTTTACATGGCCTTCTATGGTATCTAGATTGTTCAATATAGATACTTGCCCATAGGGCAGGATATTGTCATGCAAGTGGAACGTCAAAGTGCAAGGAATTAATTCAAATAATTGAATGGGAAAACATCTTAACATATTTACAGGTCCGCAAAAACAAATCGGTTCTTTCAGCATCAGATATGATACGTTCTTTGAGACATGATTTTATATACCCATTGAGCTCTCAGGACCTTAGAAAGGAGTCCACTGCCCACACCCACACATTCTTACTCGCAAGAGTCATCGTTGTTGTCGCCACCGTCGACGCATCCCCAGGGACAATTCTCAGTCTTCGAGATTGTCCCATCATCATGGCAGCGATAGAGGTAGTAGTCGAAATTGACCTTGGTAGGGTCGATGGGCCAGTCGGCATTTTTGAGGGCATCGTAGATCTCGTCATGATAGTTGCCTGCGTCCGGCAAGAATTGTAAACTGAGATGAACAACATAATTACCAGGGACGAATCATTACCTTTTCCCATTAAATTAAACGCGCAGTAATCAAGACCGGCTTGACAATTTGCTGCGGTGGATAGAGAAACAAAAAGAGCGCAAGCTGATAAGATGACCTTCATGTTGGGGGTTTGTTGGATATATTGTGGGGGAGATCTTTGCTTGGGTTTGATCAGTGAGAGAGAGAGAGAGAGAGAGAGAGAGAGAGGCAGATTACCAAATTAACAGTCCACAATGTAGGAATGGCCTCCTTATAGGGGGGGATCCGGAGGTACCGGTGTCAGGCACAGTCTACAGATGCTTTGCCTCTCCGGAGATCAGCTTGATTTCTTTTTATTTTCTTTCCGACTCTTTCCCCTCTTCTGGAGAAACCACTCATGTCCTCTCTTGATTCTGGCCCCCTACAGGTCTAGGTCGTTCAATGCCATGATAGAAACTACATCTCCTATTTTTATCAACCGTGAGGTCATTGAAAGATCTGCGGGATCGGTGGGGCTAGCTCAACCCTGGCCCTGGGCCCCAGGTGTGTGTATTAGGTTTAAGAGTACGGAGTAAGTAGCATCATATTATCACTTGGCCGGACTCGACTTCCATATGTTTCAAATTGAGAGTAAAAAGTCCGTCCATGTGGTTGATCAAATGTACCGAGGTGGAGAAAGCTGGAAACACTGCCACAATTCTGTTCGTTCCCGCACGACGAAATGCTTATTCCCTTCCCTTTTTTTTTCGCTATGATTCCAGAGGATCAAGACAGTAAGACGCACTCAATAATGATAAACGCAGCCATATAAATCAGGAGTGGCGGGAGTATTATCGAGGCTGTGGAACTATATCCATCTAGACATACTTGGTGCTCCTGTCGGCTCCATCGCATATAGAGCAAGCACGAATAATAATAAAAGTTGGGGCCTCCGCCGCAAACAACAAGTACCCTGGGAGAAGAGTTAATCTGGATATCAGAATTAAAAAGGACGGGATGAGGATGAAAATGACTTACATTGGTAGCATCGACCAAAGCCATTTGCGGGTGATTCCCACAGTCCGATTAATCCTTGAGTCTCGCCGAGACAAGGCAGACGAGGAAGATCGTTCTGGAGCCAATTGGGGCCTTTGGTGGATTGTTGGCTCGGTGGGGACCATTTTGCGAGGCCAATGTAGTGGAAGGTGTATGAAGAAAGAGAAGACAAGAGTTCTACTACTGCGTTAATAAAGGGTGATATTATGTACTAGTCATTGGGCCTGTGCCGTGTCCCCACTCCAGTAGCATAAACAAGATAAAATGGAGAATGAGGATGACGATCAATCCTTCTGTCTGTTCATCAAAATGGGGGCCATGGAAAAATTGTAACCTCACAAAGAATTTATAAAAAAAAAAAGAAAAGAAAAAGAAAAGAAAGAAATTTAAATAAAATTCAAGAATTTAAAAAATAAAAAGGTAAAAGAAAAGCAGTTACCTGCTGATACCAATGATTCAGCAAGTAGAAGTCCCATCGTGATCAGCCACACAATTGCGTAGTGGTCAGTCAAATATCATCATATATAACACTCAGCTCAACCCCTTCCAAGGTTCTTCGACCATTCCATACACCACACCTCTTGTCTCCCTTACTTTGCTTTGACTCGCATCAATTGCCCACCATGTTAATCCCGATCACGGCAATTCTTGGACTGGCATCCTTGGTGCCAGCCATTCCTGTTGAGGGAGATAACTTTGCTCGTTCCTCAACTGATGGACCTTCGGCGCTGCAAGGAAAGGATGCCGTAACTCGCGAACTGGAGAGCCGTATGGGGGAAATCTCCACTGCTCTGGACCTTCGAAGCGAGAACCCTTCAAAGCGCGCCGTGATGGACCTGGAGAGTCGAACTCCGTCGAACTGCCGCGCATTGTCGAATCCCAGATTTTCTAGTTCGAAATATACAGCATTGTAGGTATAGCCAAGTTTTTTTCTTTTTTTTCTCTGTCATCAATGAATCCAATGCTAACCACAATCTAGCCATGTTATCGCAGTCCTGTCTGGAGTGGCTGCACAAGGCTTCTGTGCCATATCCAACTCCGGGGCGGGTTGTGCGGAGCTTGGCTTAGCCATCACGGCCGTTTTGGAAATCATAATTTACGGCAGCTCGATCTACAATGACGATATTGAACATGGCATTGCGCATGTTTCAGGAATTCTGGGTCTGAATGGCAGGATCCCGGATCCCACTATCGAAGGTATGAGCAGCGACGCCTCCACTAGACTTGCGGGATTGCTTGAAGAGGGCCGCGCCCACAATGACAAGCGAAGTCTACCTGATATTGAACACTTGAATATGGCCCGAACCGTGGAAGGGTCCCGTCTTGAATATGATGGGGTCGAACTCGTGGATGTTTCATCCTTGAACCACCAGAAGCGAAGCATTGACTCGCCTGATCTCACGCATCGCATGATGGTCCGAGGAGCCAAGCTGAACAATCTGGCACACGATCTTGCGTTTGATCAGTACAGCAATGGCCAATCAGCTATCTCCTTCAGGTTCAATGAAACTATGTTTGGCGGAGAGTCAGAGCTGAACAAGCGCGATATATCTGGTGTTGGATTGAAGGTGACGTTCTCATATCCTGGAAAGGTGACAGATGATGAATCCTTGAGGACCGACCTTGCCCACGGATTCGGAAAGCATTGGGGGGAGACTGCTTTCAGTCAGACTGGCTGGAGTGACTACCTTGGTGGTCTTCAAGATTCGGATGGAAACTCACTGCTGAAGTTCCGTCTTGGACTGTCAAATGGGGAGCCCAGCCCTGACTCTGCGGATCTCGATGTCTGTTAAAGCGTGACGGCTAGCCCATAGGCGAGCCTTCTTCCTTACAGCAGGAAGCCCCCATTCATCCTTCTGGTTGTTATAGTGTAAATATCAAACTTGATCTTTCCATGTCATCAGGACCACAAGAAGACATGGTCCTCTTGTCTTTCTTGACTCTTGTGTATATGGATATACTTTTGCTTTGAAATCAACTCATGTTTTCGTTTAATTCAATACAAAATTAGCTATTTAAAATTGGTTGACACCTTGACTCATATGCTTGTCTAGTAAAAAGAATCCAACTCTCTATATAAATGTGCCTCGTTGGTCGTTGATAATAGTAGCATTTCTCTAGGCGGCTCTACACCCGAGGTTTCTTGCAATCCTCCTCTTCTTGAATCTATCGCAAAATATAAAATCACTTTACATGAAAAAGCAATACCAGTTCAAGTGGCCTAATCTATCTCTGTGGTATTATAATCGGAATTCAATCCTGGGAGGGACCCTTTAGCCTTTTGCACCTCTTAATCTAGCGTTTCACCACGTCCCGCTTCTAAATTCATGCATCAATTTCTCAGCCGTAGGTGGATGAGACAACCGGATGGCTAAGTACTAGATTACGGGATATTCGTATCGATTGCCCATTATGACACTACTGACAGTAGCAAAGAAGTGCAAGATCATGGGGAATGTTGGGGGCCGACGCTGATCATTGTGGCATTGTGGTATCCACACCCAGGTCGTTTAGTTCAAAAGATTGTGGAAATCGCGCATACGAAACGAAGCATGACTAAAAAAAATTATTGTAAAGAAGAAAAGAAAAAAAAAAATGAGAAAACAGAAATGAAAAATGCATGACATGCTTCCCGTGGCCCCCTGTACTAATCACATTTGGATGTAGATCTAGATCGCTTGAGAAAATTAGAAAAAAGAAACAAATGAAAATCGAATACTCGAAAGGCGTAAGAAACCAAGTGCGACGGGGCCCCTGTGAAACCCTTCGGCTCATGTAGCCCCATTGATACTACTAGTACTTCCCTACCGTTATATCAAAAAGCCCTCGTCAGTGGCAGCCACTGAACGACCCTCCTCAAGAATTGACATATTTAAAGTATTCCCAGCCTCCCCAGAAGTTACTCAAAGTCACTCTTCTTCCAAATACCCGAACACATCTTTACACTTTCTCTCCAAAGACCTCATATCGCAAACATGAAGTTCAGCATCTTCGCTATTGCTTTCTCTGTTGCTGCTGTGACCGCACACGACTGCACGACTGGCCTGAGGTACTGCGCCTATAATCTCATCGGCAAAGGTATGAATCTATGAAATGAAGATCCAACGTTGTGCTTGAAGGAAGGCACAGTACTTTCCTGGGAGCTATATGGCTGACATAGAGAAGGCGACTACCATTCCCAGGTGAACGATGCCATGGCAAAATGGTATGGAACCAACAGTCAAAATCTGAAATACCACAATCCCGACTACGCCCTTTTCCTGTGCAATGGTGCCAACGACATTCAGATGGTCAAGGATTGCAATAACTACTGCCAAAATGGAGGTGATGACCAGAGAGACTACTGTGACAACTAGATGGCCCTCAGACCTGTTTTATATTATGTGTATTCCATGATCTAGTGCTTATTCTCTCTTCGTGGTACTATACCTCGCTTTGTTTGAATGAGTTATTGTACGCTATTCCACCTCTGCATTATATAGGATGATGTTCCACCATGTTTGAGTATCAACTCGGAAAATGCAAGTTGATCTGTAAATATTTTTTACCAAATCTCCAATTATTAAAGATAATGTAGTATGTGAATTTCCTTAGTGAATACCAGTTTGATGTGCATAGCTTGCAACTCTCAGACACGATTCCTGGTATAATACAGCTCTACTCCGTATATCCTTCTTCTTTGTTGGGGGTTTTTTTTTTTAATTGAAATTTCGAATAATGTAACAATACTAGAGGAAGTATTCTTCGTGTGACTTAGAATATGATTTTCCATGTGAAATAGGATGATCCTTCCGGGTTATGTGGATGTGATGAACGTGGGTCTAGAGACGGTAGACGACGTCATTTTTGTTAGTAAAAGTCCCGATAAACTTTCAAATCCTTCAGCTGTGACAGACACCGCCCTGTCAGGGGTAACGTGTATGCTGTAACCCTGGGGCTAAGCTTAGCCTAGCCAAAGACCCAGGTAAGCACTTAGCCCCATCTTGGCGCCGGGGAGCAGCCCGGTGGGGGCGGCCCCACCGGGCTCCTTCAAGTATGCAGGGGGGCCGGCACTCATACTACCTAGTTTTAACTCTCTAGATACTCGCACATCCTAAAAGAGAAAAGAAGCGTGCACTGCAAAACATCGAAAGGATCCATAAGGGGCTGTGTAACTTGCGAAATAGCACCTATTTTTGTTGCCCCCGTAATTTTGAGCACGGCTCGCACATGCGGACGGCTAATATCAGTCTGCGCGATTGCTTAGGAGATCTACTATAAGAAAGAGCGCCAGGCTTCTCATGACCAATTATCCTACCCAAGTCCCACCCCCAATTCAAGCATCAATTTCCAGTATGAAGCTCATCCTACCCACCACCCTTGCCGTACTTGCAACCACGGCCGTTGCGAAAAACTGCAATGAGGGATTCGACTACTGTGCTCTTACTCTCCTGAATAATGGTACTAGTTTCGACCCCCTCCCGTGTATCTTGTCTGGATTTGAATTAACATACTACAGGGAACTACCACCAACAGATCTTGCAGGCCATGGATGATTATGGCAAGAATCGTGCAAACTGGAACTACGATAACTTCCTCTACCACTGCGAGGGCGGGTCCAACGGAGACATCAAAATCACGAAGGAGTGCCCTAATGGCTGTGTAGACGGCGGAGCTGGGAATGATGACCAGTGCAAGTAGTTTGGAAACTTTGGAACTGCTTGTTGATCTCTTCTTTTTTTTTTTTTTTTTTGCTGTTTAGCTTGTGTATATAATACCTATATAGCAGTCGGTTCCTGCATATACTTGTGACCGCACGCAACCTTTGGAAAGTGTTTTCTCGCTTCGCCTCTCATTTAAGTATATTGTTTGTAATTATAGACCCCATATAATTGCTGAAAATGGTAGGTAAAAGGTTTTGGGAATACTGGACCGATTTCCAAGGTTCCAAGATTTACTTATTCAATTCGAATGAACGATGAATCCCTTTTCAAGAAGGATTAATAAGCGTACGATGAAGCTTTCTAAACGAGACTAATGTGTATAGTACTTATACTCCTAAACGTTCTAGAAATCCCCGTAGTAAAGGGACATCCTGAACAATGGGAGGATTAACCCTCTGGTTTATCTTGGCGGTGGCAATTTGACAAGGCACCAGTCCGGCATGGAATTGGGCGACTGTAATCTCTGGATCATCGATGCTTTTAACAGATGGATAAATCGAAGATGAGCCCTGTTCCTAATAGTGGAAACAGCCGGGGACAACAAAAGTCGATGCTGCCAGGTATTCATTATGGCCAGCACCCATTGCAGCCGTGGCTTGGTTGATGGGGTTTACAGCTTGTCTGAAAAAAAAAATCTCGTAGCTGGGGGAGTGGGCATATCGTGTCATGTATAGAGAGCCCATATTTGCAGCGCAAGTGATGAAGGTAAGCTTGACGATGCAAGTATGAGGGTGGATAGACTGAGACGATGGGATGTAGACTATGAGAGAGGAGATGAAGCAAGCGAGAGAGGAAACTAAGAAGCTCTATCTTCTTAGGGACTTCTGTTCTTGTCTCTATAGTTTTGTCTACCAAGCTTCCTACAACGTGAATCTTTTACGTGGTGAATATCAAAGTATATTATCCCCAGGATACTACTTCACAAACCCTAAGAAGTGACAAGCACCAAGATTAGAGTCACTTAGAGTCACTTAGAGATTGAATGAGATAAGCCTCTGGTCACATGATTCAAGATATTCCCTGTGAAGGAGAGGGGCATTCATACATAGCAGAAGGAAAGTCATGATCGTCAGTGAAAAGAACCTAAACCAGAAGGCAAAAAGCATTGGGCAAGGCTTCACGTTCACAACCTCATAAGGAAGACCGCGTTCGGTAGTTTAACGGTGAGAACATGCCCTGTTTCGGGTAAGACCTGGGTTCGACTCCTGGCTGACGCATTACGATTTTTGTTTTCAGCCTTACGATGATTGCCATGTTCCACTGGATAAAACACTCAAGAGAGAGACAATTTATTGGTCCTTGTTAAAGATTGCGTTTAGCTCATTTTGCTAGTAGAAGAATCTTACTATGTCAAAGACAATGAAGCCCTTTCACTGGCTTATATATAATATAGCGTTCTATATAATACTGTACAACCGATACCCCAACTTACTATCCTCAGCTAAATCCCCATAGTACATCCCAACACATAAAACGAAGACTAATTCTTCAAACGTGTCTGAAACTCCAAACTAAAAGGATAATCCGCATACCCATGACACTGCATCGGCGTATAAAATGTATCCCGATCATACTTCTGAAGCGGAATACCACGCTGCAACCGAAACGGCAAGTCCGGATTAGCCAAGAAATGTCTCCCAAAGACAACAGCAACATTATAATCCCGATACTCCTCCTCTATCGCCTGACGTACATTCTCCGGCGTATAACCTCCAGCAACCAGCACCGGAGTAGTCCGACCCCAGATATCAAGGAACGGCTCGATCTCCTCCCGCTTCTCACAATCCACATTATTGATGACCCGCGACTCAATAACATGTAAATACGCCAATCCAAGCTCCTTCAGCCGCCTCACCAGATACGAGAACTGAGGCACCGGATCCGCCATCTTCATCCCCTGCCATGTATTCCAGGGACTGACTCTGAATCCCACGCGGTCCGCACCAACAGCCTCAACGAGCGCTTGGGCAACTTCAACCCCGAACCGTGCACGGTTCTCAATACTCCCGCCCCACCTATCTGTCCGCTGGTTACTGACATCCTGAACGAATTGATCCACCAGGTACCCATTAGCGCCGTGGACTTCAACACCGTCGAAACCCGCCGCAATGGCATTCTTAGCGGCAGTTGCAAAGTCCCGAATGAACCCCTGGATCTCTTCTTCGCTTAGGACGTGGGGAACCGTTGCCCCATCTTCCATGGGAATGGCACTGGGCGCGGAGACTTCGAACCCCCCTTCCTTCCTGAGAGTTGATGGGTCGGCGGCACGGCCTAGGGCAATTAATTGGCAGAAGATATAACTCCCCTTGGCGTGCACGGCGTCGGTGATTTTCTTCCACGCTTGGATCTGCGATTCGGTAAAGAGGCCCGGGGCGTGGGGGACGCCTCCTGCTGCTGCGGATATGAGGGTTGCTTCGGCGATAAGTAGGGTCCCCGGAACTGAGGCGCGTTGTTCATAATAGTTGGTGGACATGGGGAGTTGGACATGATGTTCGTCGGCGCGGAGTCGAGTCAGGGGTGCCATGACTACTCGGTGGTTTAGGGTGATGTTGCCTATACGTAAAGGCTCGAAAAGTTGTGTCGCCATGGTGAGTCGGTGAGGAATTAATTCGTGTTAGGGATAGGTGCGATGTGTGGTGTGTGAGTGAGGAAGGATTGGATTCAGGCCGAGTATCTTTTCGGTTATTTTGCGTATATATATATATATATATTTTATATTCGGAGTTCCTTCTAATTTTACGCGTGTTGGATTGCTAATCATCTTAAGATAGTACACAGTACACAAAAATTTTAATACCCACCTAGAAGCACATAAATATGATCAAACTGCGTTGGGGTAGGTCTTACAAATCCGGTCGACCATGTCTCCAAATCCGTTACCGAAAGCGGAAAGTATGCCCTACTCCCCAATTTGCCAAGACCGTATGTTTTCACCATATATCCTCCTACTGTACTTACTATTACTGCCTGTTCGGTTCTTGTCTCTGAGAGATTTGTATTTGATACTATGTTGAACGATAGATGATGCAGTGGTAAATATAGTAGAGCTGCAGCACTGTCATTCAACTCATCCTTAATTACCTCCATCAGTACCAACACACCACCGTGGCCATCGCAGGACATCATTCTATACAAAAAGCAACAAAAGGAAACGAAGAGAATTGCTTGAGACTAATCATACAAGAGTAGAAAATAAAAGACAGTTCAAAGGTTCAGCCTTTATAATTTTAATCCATATAACTACCTCCATTCGATTTTGTGGACATAGTCCACTCCCAGTTGAGATAGAAACAAGTACCGAACCCAGAAGTCTAACCCTAACCAGTCCAGACACTGATTACCAATTAAGTGCTGCCATCTCGGGTAAATAGCTATAATACATCCCCCCAGTTTCTACAGATTGCTCTAGATCTAATCACTAGCATCCAATAGAATTGCAATCCAGTCTAAATAGGGTTCAAGACGGTGGAAATAAGCAGTGGATATATTCCCCCGCATTTCCGCATAACCCGATCGATAACCGAGGCGAAATCGGGGTATCTTCAATGTCTACTTAATAAATAGTACCAGTCTGTAACACCATAATTATCTGTTCAAGTTGACACTTTTTGAACAAAGATTGAACTTATATATTCATCATCTAACTACCGTATCACCTTATAAATACATCCATTGAGACAAAAACAACACCAACAGCCTTCTCCAACCATGACCTCCCAATCCTCCACTCTTCCCCGCAAACTCTGGGAACATGCCAACCCCCAATCCACGCAGATGTGGGACTTTAAACAAAAACTAGAAACAGAAAAGGGCCTCAAACTCCCCGTATGTCCTTCAATCTCATATCAAATTGCATTGTCCTGTGTAACACCATCTGATAATAAAACCAACAGACATTCCACGACCTCTACCAATGGTCCACCAACAACCGCGCCGCCTTCTGGGCCTTCTGCTGGGATTACTTCCCCATCATTCATGAAGGCAGCTACACCACCGTCGTCGATGAAACAGCCCGTATAGACAGCATCCCGACCTGGTTCGAGGGCATCCGTCTCAACTTTGCCGAGAACATGCTTTTCACTGGTGAACGGACCCCCAATGGCGATCTGAGAATCACAACCACAAACAAAGAAGATGGCAAAATTGCCTTGACGCAGATTCGTGAGGGTGGTTCCGAGCCACCGATTAGCATTACCTGGCGCGAGCTGCGACAGCGAACGGGGCGGTTAATTCAGGCCTTGAAAGCAGCTGGCGTTGTCAAGGGTGATCGGGTCGCGGTGGTGGCGAGTAACAGTATCGATACGTTGGTTGTGTTGCTGGCGACGACGGCGCTGGGGGCGTTGTTTTCGTCGGCTTCGACTGATACCGGTGTGAAGGGGATTTTGGATCGATTGCTGCAGCTGAAACCGAAGTGGGTGTTTGTTGATGATGCTGCGGTTTATAACGGGAAGCGGATTGACCTGCGGCCTAAGATTAGAGATGTTGTTGGTGGGTTGGATGGTGTCGAGGAGTTCCGGGGTGTGGTTGCTGTGCCGCGGTTTGCAGCTCCGGCTGATCTGACTGGTGTGCCTAAGACGCAGTCGCTGGCGACGTTCCTGTCCCAGGCACGCTCGGATGAGTTGGAGTTTGTGCGCATTGGCTTCCGTGATCCATTCCTTGTTGTTTATTCGTCCGGGACGACGGGGAAGCCGAAACCGATTGTTCATGGTGTTGGTGGATATATCCTCAACGGTAATAAGGAGGCCCGGTTACATAGGCTGCATGGTCCGGAGTCGGTTGTGCTACAGTATACGACAACGGGGTGGATCATGTACCTGTCCGCCATTACGGGGCTGATGTTCGGTGGAAAGCCCATCTTATACGACGGAAGTCCCTTCTTGCCTGATGTGAAATTCCTCATCCGATTGCTGGGCGAGTACAAAGTTACTCATTTCGGTACTTCGCCGCGGTATCTGCAGGAGTTGCGGAAGAACAATGTCCGGCCCAGGGATATCGCAGACCTCTCCAATCTCTCCATTGTCACTAGTACAGGCATGGTCCTGTCGGAATCCTTGTTCGAATGGTTCTACGATGAGGGCTTCCCCGCTCGCACGCAGCTGGCAAACATCTCTGGAGGAACCGATCTAGCTGCATGCTTCGGCCTCGAGAACCCCATGACGCCTCTGTACGTAGGCGGCTGTCAGGGACCCAGTCTTGGCCTCCCCATCGCGGCATACGACCAAGCAGACGAAGGAGCTTCTGGTGTCAAGGGGAAGCCAGTTCCAGATGGAGAGCCGGGCGAAATTGTTGCCACGGCTGCATTCCCAACCATGCCAGTGAAGTTCCTCGGAGACGACGGACCTCAGAAGTATTTCGATTCCTATTTTGCCCGGTTTGACAGTAAGCGTCCTCACTCTTCTATCATGTTATCCCTGATATACTAACAATGAGAAAAGACGTCTGGACCCACGGCGACTTCATCAGCATCCACCCCGTCACCAAACAAATCTTCTTCCTCGGCCGCTCAGACGGAGTCCTAAATCCCTCGGGCATCCGATTCGGATCCGCCGAAATCTACAACGTAATTGACACGCGATTCGCCGATGAAATCGCAGACTCAATCTGCGTGGGCCAGCGCCGGCCCCAGGATACCGATGAATCAGTGATGCTCTTCCTGCTCATGCGACCGGGACGCAAATTCACGCCGGAGTTGGTGGGACGGGTCAAGGAGGCGATTCGGAAGGCTCTCAGTGCAAGACATGTCCCCAAATATGTCTTCCAGACACCTGAGATTCCGGTAAGTTGTCTCCCTGCAGGTGCTGGTGGGTGCAAGCTAACGAGTGTGTAGACGACGGTTAATCTCAAGAAGGTTGAGTTGCCGGTGAAGCAGATTGTTTCAGGAAAGAAGATTAAGCCCTCGGGGACGCTGTTGAATGCGAAGAGCTTGGACTTTTATTATCAGTTTGCCGAGGTTGAGAGATTGATAGAGCCGAAGAGCAAGTTGTGAGGTGTGGAAGGGTTGTTCTGCGGAGTAGACAAGATAGGTCTTAATGAGACCCGGAATATGCAATGAGATATGTCATTTTGAAGGCAAATAGACCTCAGTTGTGGAATAACTATGAGATATGCTTATGTTACAGCCTCGGTTATTTACCTCGGTCTCTAGCACTATAATGGGTTACTTTCCTACTATCATTTGATGGAGTTGTTAAGCACGCCGCACCTTGAGCTATCCGGTTCTAGGGCCCGCGAGGATGTCTCGCGGGTAATGATGATCTTTTATAACAGCCAACCACTTGATAGGTGTTAGATTTTGAATGGTTTGAAATTATAATCGCAGTGGAACATCATTCACCAATCAGATTGCACCGACATGACAAGGCTATGTATGGGGTTTCCCCGAGGCTGGGGCTGAATTGCGCGGGGCCCTGAATTGCTGGGCGGCTATGTTAAGACTCATTATTCCCGCCAGCCAAAACTCCTATTTTAGTGGTGCCTATCTCGTGTTCCTTAATGAACACAGAGATATCAATTCCATTGAAGTTTAAGGAAACCTGGTACCCGAGCCTCCGTCTTGGTCGCTCTGTCAAACCTTTGCACGATGCCGAAGAGAGGGTTGGACACTGAGCAATACCCAAAACATGATCTCAACACAGCGAAAAGAACAAAGATCAATCTCGACGACAACAGTCCTAGGCCCCGACGGAGTCAATCTAGCTACACGGTCGGTTGGATTTGCGCTGTGGTCCCCGAACACGTCGCCGCCACAGTCTTTCTCGACGAAGAGCACGAACGACTAGAGAATCTGTCTAGCAACGATAACAACACCTACAAATTTGGGAAGATTGGAGAGCATAATGTGGTTATTGGCGTCATGCCTAATGCATCTGGCACAACATCTGCAGCATTAGTTGCAAGGGATATGCTACGCAGCTTTCCAAACATTCGAACGTGTCTCATGGTTGGAATTGGCAGCGGGGTTCCAAGTTCCAAGCATGATATCCGGTTGGGGGACGTTGTTGTCAGTAGTGCTCAGAATGGCAAGGGTGGTGTGTGGCAGTATGACTTTGGCAAGACAATCCAAGATCAAAGCTTTCAATGAACAGGATTCTTGAATCAGCCACCATTGTTTTGACAGACAGCGGTGAAAGCATTGAGAACCGAATATGCAATTCGCGGTCACTGTCTTCAGGAAGCAATCAGCGATGTCTTGGAGAAGAATAGTCGAATAGCGAAAGACTATCAGCTGCCGAACCCGAACACTGATAGGCTTTACAAAGCTCATGTTATCCATCCAAGTGGAGAGAAAGGCTGTGCTGCAGTTTGTGGTGATGATCCGTCTGATCTCATCGAGCGGCCGGAACGCGAGGAGAATTTAGAAATTCACTATGGCCTCGTTGCTTCGGCAAATCAGGTTATGAAGGATGCTACCTTTCGAGACATATTGGCAGAAGAGAAAAACGTTCTGTGTTTTGAAATGGAAGCAGCAGGACTAATAAATCATTTCCCATGCTTGGTCATTCGGGGTATATATAACTATGCAGATACGCATGACAATAAGGAATGGCGAGGGTACGCAGCGATGACAGCTGCTGCATACGCCAAAGATCTTCTATACCAAATTCCTGTGAACCAAGTCAATGCCAAGAAAAGAACAGCCGAATATATTTCGGGTGGTTGGTTCTGACTGACTTCTGTCCACATGCGAATAGGCTTCTGATTATTAGCGCAGTCCTTCATAGCGACAATGGAGAAAATAGTGAAATCAGCGTGAGTCCGGATAGAAGAGAAGCAGAGAAACTTTCACTCAACGAGCGACAAAAACGTGCGTTACTTGACTCATTACATTTTGACCAAATCGGTGCCCGCTACCTTGATATCAAGAAGGCTCATGTGAAGACCTGCAAATGGTTGCTAAGACAGGGTGAATATCTTGATTGGCTTGACCCCAGAAAGGTCATCGAACATAACGGCTTCTTATGGATCAAGGGGAAACCTTGAGCCGGGAAGTCGACCTTGATGAAGTTCGCTTTGGATAATGCACGAAGTGCACTCGAGGGGAAGAGCAATATCATTATTGCCTTCTTCCTCAACGCACGTGGTGGAATTTTGGAAAAGTCTACACTTGGGATGTATCGATCACTGTTATTGCAACTTCTCCAGGGACTTCCAGAACTTCAAGATGTTGTTGAGTCTCTCGACTTGACCATGTCAACACGGAATGGGGTACCTCACAGATGGGTTATTGAGTTGCTCAAAGAACTCTTTGAACAAGCTGTGCAGCGTCTGGGACAACGTCGTTTGATCTGTTTTATCGACGCTGTGGATGAATGCGCCGAGTATGAGATTCGAGACATGGTCAGCTTCTTCCAAATCATAGGTGAAGACACAACCTCGGCTGGTGTTCAATTCCATGTCTGCCTTTCAAGCCGGCACTATCCTCATATCACCATTCGAAAAGGCATCACCCTAGTTCTTGAAGAACAAGAAGGACACCGCCAAGATATCGCCAACTACTTGGATACTGAGTTGAATATCGGAGACACTGATCTTGCCAAGCAGATTTCCACTGATATTCAGAACAAGGCACTTGGGGTCTTTATGTGGGTGGTATTGGTGGTAGGAATTTTGAACAAGGAGATGATAGTGGAAATGTTGATGAGCTTAAGGAACGGCTTCGAGCTATCCCTGGGGACTTACACCAGCTATTCCGGGATATCTTAACTCGTGACCGCCGCGAAAACAAACGGTTACTGTTATGCATTCAGTGGGTCCTTTTTGCGAAGGAGCCATTGAGGCGAGAACAACTCTACTTTGCTATTCGTTCTGGTATCAAACCTCTATCAGCATGGGATCCTGATATCATAACACCATCTGTTATGGATAGATATATTCTTGATTGCTCTAAAGGACTTGTTGAAGTTACCAAGGGCAAAACACAAACAGTCCAATTCATCCACGAGTCTTTCAATGACTTTCTCTTGCGAGAGAATGGATTAAGGGAAATCTGTTCAGACCTTGAAACGAATTTTCAAGAGCAGAACCATGAGCGATTAAAACAATGTTGCCTCACGCAAATGACTATTGCCGCCAGGTCAAATCTTGAGCATACTTTCCTAAATAGAGCATTCCCGTTCTTGGAATACGCTATCCAAAACGTTTTGTACCATGGAGACGCGGCTGAAGGAGGTGTCAATCAGCTAAATTTCATCCAGACCCTTCAGCTTGGCAGATCACACGCTGCTGGAAATGGGCATGAAGCTGTTTCTAAGCTCCTTCTTGAGAAGGGTGCTGATCTCAATGCACAAGACCACTATGGCCGGATCCCTGACTGTGGTGATAAATACGTCGGCAAACTCCTGGAATCTGCGGGCGCCATACAGTAAACCGGGATTCATTTTAGAATTCCATATTTTTATCGTTAGTATGCAGATTGCCAAAACTCTACACGGCTGGCTGGATACCCTCACTTGCTGCCGATTCCTGCGGAAGACCGCTATTCTTTCGATTCATCCGGGTCTCAGAATTCGGTATGGCTTTAATTGCTGTAGCCTATCTACAATCATCGAGCCCATACGCCCTAGCAGCATCAACTCCCCCATCCGCCTGCGGGAGGGCTTTCATCACTCAGCAGCTTACTCTGGCTGCGCACGGTGGGCAGCACCACCGTTCAAATAGGATATCTTAGTCCGGCCCATCCAAACATCAAGATAATACAGAGGAAAAAATCGACAAGAAGTGAAAACACAAGCGCCATCTATACGCCGAAGTAAAAGTGCTGACCCAGCCGCTCAAGATAAATCGCACACTGATGTAAGGTCGTCTATTTGTTGTGGATCAAGAGATTGCGGAATGAATCCCAGTGATCGCAGTCGGAATAGCTATAAAATGTCAGTAAGGAACCATCTGGATGAATTAAAAAGGATAAAGAAACATACATGTAAACCATGCTACTCTTCAAGCTCGACATGAGGGAGTCCGGGTGCCAGCGGAAGAGGTACATAACCATAGCCCAGCTCACACTGGCAAAGACTGGCCATGCGTGTTTCTCTATGTCGGCTCGAGTACCGGGGGTTATGAGGGAGGAGAGGGGGTGCATGTTCGGTTGCACGGACAGCTTGGCAAGAGCCAACAGCACCCGGGCAAAAATGTAAATGACGATCTACCATAGTCTACGTTAGCCCAGGTTCGTCCATGCTAGGGTGTTTATAGTCCGTACCTGCTGGGTAATACTCGTCTTGTTCCGGCCGAACACGGCATACCCTCCCAGCAGACCAGCAAAGAAGCTGTCAAATCGTCCCTCCTTTCCGACTCCAGAGGGGTTCACGTTTCGCAGCACAATCATGGAGCTCTTGTATATGAAAGCGAAGGTCGCGAGGTTCCGGGCATGCTGGCGTGTGGCTTTCAGGACAAGCTTTGCTTTTTCTCGGAAGCTATCGAGTATATCAGCACACTATCTAATATAGCTACCATGCCCGGAAGGGATTCCTTACGTTCCAGAGCGAAAGAGGAAGATCATTCTATAAGGAAATACATCAAAATATCAGCTATGGTTCACAGTGAAGTCGAATCTTCTTGCGGTCGTGGACATACACCAAAGCATGTGGAAACCGCACTTTTGCGCCATATACTGCGCCATTACGGACAGTCTTAACTAGCGCGAGGAGAGGTGCAAGGTCGGGGTTGGTGACAAGAGCATCTAAACGGGACTACACAGCGATTAGAAAGATATGAGCGGCGACTGGAGGGTAGTGAGGTAACATCGCATCCTACCAAGAGGGCATCCATAGTGACTCGTCGGGGACCTCGGCAGGCCGATCGGATGAGCAGCGCAGGTCGATATGGGGAGGACAGGTTCACCGACGGAGATCACCCAATGTGTTTCAAATCATGGGGAGGTCATAAGATGGGGAAGGGAAGTATTCTCTTGGAGAGCAAAATAAATATAGTAATTGAGAAGCCAGGACCACAGGCAGGTGGGGAGCAGCGGCAATTAAGGACATCTTCTGCATCCGCGCAAGTGCAAAAGATCCCTCGGCATGTGAGTCTCGCGCCGAATCTCCCCAAAAACGTCACTGGTCACGTGGCGGTCGGCTGACCACGGCCGGTCCTCAGGCAGTCAGGCAGACATACATATAGACGTGCAATACTATCCGTATTCTGCCATAGTATCCTGGAGATAAAGCGTAATGAATTAACTGTGCCGCAGACAGCTGAAGCTGCACTGAGCGTACGATTACAAGGATTTTCGCTCCAACCTACACTTGTTTGGTAGTGTGAAAGCGCCTCCAAATAAAGGTGGACGGCCGCAAAGTATCGCTCTAAACAACGACTGATGTGCATCATAAATCCCAGAAGATCAATTTAACCTATCAAAATGAATACCAATCAATCTACGAGGCACGCTTCCCACATGGCTCAAATGGGAGCAAACCCGCACATAGAGCCAAACCACCATACAGCGCCGCACAAATAAAGACCGGTGCTGAAGTATCAGTATTTGCCGTGGTCGCAATAACCGCCGACATAACACCCATGAAACGGTGGAGAGCCACCGAGATCCCATTTCCGGTGGCTCTGTGGGCCGACGGTAGGACCTCGACCGTATATCCGTACAGACAAGCGGCGTAGATCTGCAAGGTGAAAGAAATGACACACGTATAAGCAACATTCTGCTGCTGGGATGTGACCTGAGAATATGCAAACAAAAATGCCACTGGAAAGGAGTAGTAGTTAGCCAGGGGCAAAATAAAAAGAAAATGACATTAGTCAAAAAGGGACGTACTGGTAAGAAGACCACCAATGACCATGGTATATCGTCGTCCTAAGAAGCGTCGGTTCGCCAAATATGCACTGACAATAGGCCCGAAAATGCTACACACTTGAGCAAGAGCGTAATTTCTCCACGTTTCGTAAGTACTCGTCACACCGAACTTGACTCCCCGGCTGGCCAGGTACGTCGGCAGGAATACGTTGAACAATGGATATGCGAGACCAAGCATTAACCAGGACAGCCAGAGGAGGAACATCAGGAGGACGAGTTTCCGCGTTGAGAACAGACTGCGCAAATGGATTGAGAATTCGCTAACGGAAAACTGCGACGACCGAGAGTGTGCAGTTGTAATGGTCCCGCAGTCCTCAAGCTGCTGGAGAGTGATCGGATAGGGTCGATGGTATTTTTCCGCCAGTTGATTGAAATGCTCGACCACCTCTGCGTCTTTCCCCTGTCCTAGCCGGAACTTGGGAGTCTCCTTAAAGTGGACCACTGCCACTCGAGCAATGCTCATCACAAAGATCATGGCTCCCATTGTATACATAAGGTATCGCCAGCCGCTGTTGTTCGCTTTGGTGCAAGGCATGAATGGGGCTTTGCTGGGATTGGAGCAACTATAATTTGCTAATCATAACCACGGTGAGAGACAGTCCCACTCTAGCTATTGAATGAACTCACGCATAAACCCCCATGCTACCAATCCGGCAATCGTACATCCAACCCCCCACCAAGCCGCAAGCCCCGTTACTAGCCACTGCTTGTTGGACGGCAAGTACTCGAGGAGAACGGTGGTGTCAAGGATCAGATTTCCCCCAGCGCCGAACGCAGAGAAAGCGATGAAGAACCCCAGCGATGCCCAGTTAGGAGACGCACCGGCGACAATGGTGAAGGCAGAGCAAATAAACAACGATATATTGAATGCGAGTCTCCGACCAACGATGTCGGCACTCAGGCCCCAGAACAATGCCCCTACTAGCATGCCTACGTACAGCGCTATTGTGAGACCCTTCGGGTAAGAGGGCTGAAATTCATACGCTGCTTGGGTAGCGATGATACCCTGGAGAGACACCTGGAGGGCGTCCACGCCGTATCTGTTGAACATCATGAGCTGGGTTCGTTAGAGACACAGTGATTGCAAACGAGCGTACATACCCCATGCCGCAAAGGAAGAAGAGCCTCCAGTGATATGGCGTCCACCCGATCTTGTCCAGAGCCTGTAATTTGCTCTCGTTAATCTTAATATTCGAAGACAGGGTACGTATAGGTCGAAAGAATTTACATTGTTCACCAGATGCATCTTCCTATTCAAAGCCGGATCCAAGTCCAATGCCTCAAGAATATCGTGTGCAGTGGACCCGTTACTCAAAGGGAGATTGTTTGATTCCAGAGCTGGTCTCTCTTCATCATAGTGTGCGTGTTTGCTTGAGGCGTCCATCTTGAGTTAAGCAGTATGATAGGACCACCGTCTTGGATGATAAGAATGCATCCAAAGTCTCAGGAGGGTTGACTGTGCAAAAGCCCTTCATCTGCAGCAGAAGAACCCCGCAGTGGTGGAAGTATAAATTCATGTCACAGACCCACAAGCAGGGCTATCATTTCTCTATCCGAGTTTCTATAGAAATGCTTTTTCTTTTCTGTTCCGTTCCTAAACCTTAACGTCATTTATATACTATCTTAATGCGATAACTATCTTTTTCATTATCATAAAAAGATAATCAAAACACTTCGTTACAAGATCCAGGAATTACCAGTTGAAAAAGTATCAAGATTCACCCACATTGCCCAACAATTCACTCCCTCAGCTACTCGAGTCGCTCTCTGGTTATCAACAATCTATGGAATGATTCGTTTGCTATGTCTTATTCTTTCAGTCTACACCACATCCCTCATGTGGTGCTTTTTCTTAGTTGAGTGCGCATTTATGTGTATGTTATCCATCACAGTATTAATGACTCCACGTACAACTGCTGCTGCTGACATTTGTCCAGATGAATGTTGTGGAGAACAATTATTCACACTTTCCAGTGCTAAAGGAGAACTTGACCCCCCTCTTCCACGGCTCCGCTTGATAGGACAGAATGACCTGCCGCTGGTGGAAGTTTTCGTACCATGTTGTGGGGAGACATTAGACATCATCTTAGACACCGTGCGTGCTGCCTGCGCGAGTGATTACCCAACTGCAAGATTCCGTGTGACTGTGCTTGACGACGGGAACTCAGCTGTCCTTCCATGAGGCAGTTGCTGACCTATGCAAAGTCAGGCCCAATCTGTCCTATCACAGCCGTGGAGTGTAACCAAATGCGAGGGTCTTTGCCAAAGCTGGTAATCTCAACTACGGGTTGTTTGAAATCAAGAGACCCTTCCCCCCGGAGTTTATTGCTATCATGGATGCAGACTGCATGCCGACACCAGACTTCCTGAGGGCAACTCTCCCGCATATGCTAACGCAACCCAAACTGGCGATTGTTGGGTCAGCACAGTACTATTATAACCTCCCTGATGGGGATCCTCTTAACCAGGCATTGGACTACTACTCAGCAATTAAGATCCTCCAGTTAAACAGGTTAGGCAAAAGCTTCGCTTCTGGGTCAGGGTGTGTCATTCGTTACAGTACACTTCTGAAGACCGGTGGCTTTCCCACATTCGGATCAGTAGAGGACGTCACATTATAGTCCATTCTCACCCAGTCGGGAGATCAGATCCTCGTCCTCACAGAAATGGTCCAGTTAGGCTTAATCCCAGCGTCATTCGAAGGACATGTATTCCAGACTAGTCGTCACAAAGTTGAAGTATCGGAGCTGATGCTATCTTGGAGTCCATCTACAAGCAACGCGATACCACGACGATATCGACCGGCTCTCGCATGGATCGGGTTCGGCCTTACCTGGAAGATTGTGGCCAGATATATGATGAATATCTTTATTCCGCTTGCATTAGCTTCAGGACAGCAGCTTGTTCCAACCACCTTGCTGAGGCTGCAGATGGGCCTTGCGGTTTCATATATCTCAGCTTTCTGGCTGTATGAGTGGCTTAGACCTGCTCACACAGGATTTCGTGTATCAACTTTTCATCACTTGAGAGAATAGTTTCTTGCAACCCGTGAGTGTAGGACTAACTCCAGCTTTCAATTTCCTATTCTAACACTATCTCTAAGGACACATGTTTGCCCTATTACATTTTTACCTTTTCACTTCCCAGTCTTCCGGTAATCAGCCTGCCAGGTCTGGGGTCACAGGGAGCACTCAGAATCCATGGAATCTGCCGACTGCCCGTCAATCACAAGTGAAGTGGTTCTGCCAAGGTTTTTTGACTCCCACAGTCCTGATAAATGTGATATATCTTTTTGGGAACATCCGTCACGATAGCGTACTCAATCTGGTCTTGCTATAGCAAAAATCATGAATCCGATCAACTTTTTACCAGAGTAGCCTGGCCACCAATGTTACTCCTCTGCTATCTTACTCTAACCTCCAGCTTCACTCCCCTCAGGTGCAGCATTTGGCCATTACGATATCCGAACCGTGGATTGGCCCTAGGGCCTCATCCGAATCATCCTCAAGCCGTGTTCCCAAGGGAGGAAGTTCGGCTTGCGGTGATGAATCGGCAACGACCACCGCTAGGACAGTTTTACCATCTTGTACTCGTTCCGGTTGTACTGGCGGCGCTGGTGTCCTTCGCATTGGTTATCTGATGATTGGGGTGAATCCTGGTGGTCTTCTGGCTGGGTTTCTCGGTGGATTGCAGCTGCTAGGTGAAAACAAGATACGACGAGCATGGGATTAATCCAGTGTCCCAAGTCACCGGATCCACTTGGTCAAAGAACCCTTGCCCTTGAGCATGCTTCTCTTGGACACATGACTACAAACTATAGACCAGTATCCCCAGCCATCCAAGTAAGAGAAACATGGGGGTCTTTGATGGTCACACTAGGAAATACTGGTTCAGTAACCCAGCTTTCAATATGTTCTGCCGAAGTCGACTTAAGAAAAATTGAATAGGTTATAATGCTATTTGTAAAATACTTTACTAGTGCTTTTATCTATATATCAAGTATACTGATCTCTATACTAAGCTAATGGGACCTGAAAATAAATCTGATATACTTAAATTAATATCTTAAGACAGTGATATATACGTGCAAAAAGGGTATACTTTTATTTTTAAAACTAAAGACTACTTATAACTATAGCCTTTCTACTGTTACCCACAATTGCTCTGTAGTACTAGTAGTAGATATTAGGGCTATAAATACAGCCGGTATATATACTCGAAAATTTTTTTTTTTTTCGTTGTAGAGAGCAGTAGCGCATCTATACACATGAACAACATCAAACGGGGTTTATAGAGAAGCAGCTATATTGCTTGGCATAGTCAACAGAGAAACCAATCCGCCGGTAACGCCTCGTGCGTGATAGAAAAAAGAGGGAACTTTCATCAAATGAATACATTTTTAAGCCGTCTTAGTCCTCTTCCGTCCCTCATCCTCGGAAATGTCATCCACATCCATCATATCGGCATCCTCCTCATCCGATTCCATGCCGGCACGCCGCTTCAAACCCTTCATCTTTCTCGTCTGTAATCCGCCCAGATCTTGCTTGGTCAAGTGCACGCGACCGATCTTATCACCAATAGAATCCATGCCAATGTTCTTCTTCATCTTAATCTCCTCGTTAGGCCGCTTGCCTTGCTTCATGGCCTCCTTCATGACATCCCGAGGAGCCTCCTGGATACGTCCGACCTTGAAGTCAAACTTGGGACCAATCTCCTCCAACTCCACCCGTGGGAGCTTGTGTCCACTGCGCTTCGTCTTGATCTTGTACCACCGCAGGTGAATAACAGGCGACAAACCCTCGGTGGGTTCCTCGGCCGCAACCATGAGCGCATATTGCAAGCCCTCCACATCAATCTTATCCGTGGTTTCGCCCTTGAACATATCCATGAACATGCTCTTCAGCATGACATGCGCCGACGACGTAGGATCATCCCAGGGGGTTCCGGAGAAAAGCAGCAGCGGCCGTAAACCCATTCCAACGTTCATGGTGAGGTTGTTCATCGAGGGAATCTGGTCTCCATCCGGGCTGGGAAGCAACAACAATTCACACATATCGAGCAGCTTGGCATTGAAAACCCGAGCCATAGTCACGCAGTTCGGCCTCTTCTTATTGCTGCTGCCGAACACCACCATACCGCAGTCGTTCTTATCGGCCAAGAACTCGAGGCTCTCGGCACTTTCGAACGGGTGAATATTCTCATTCTTCTTGTGGAACAGGAGCGAGTTGGGCCGGGTCAGGGAGTGCAACGTCTTCAGAACCGTGTGGAGCGGTGTCGGGCATTTCGAGCCGTGCAGTAACAATGTGCGCTTGGCTCCTTCAATGAGCTGGGGTTCTTTGGCTTTGAGAATTCGCGCCGTGCGCGGATTCTTGGGTTTTCTGTCGCAGAGATTTTCACCGGTTAGTATTCCGACGTCATACGCATCCTATGACAGGGGATGTATGGTAGAACTTACACTTCTCTGAGCATCATCTTGAAATATGGCTTCGCGGTGGAAAAACTTCCAGATGGTGCCTGCTCAGCGGCTGATCTCTAGTGAAGATCAAAAATTAGAAAAAGGCGGAACGAAAAGTTTTGGCGGAAAGGTCTTGGCGTTTCTTATCGATAAGCTTATTACCACCCAGCCCTCTGTCTGTTATACATACGGAGTACATCCATCTCCACTATGCGATCAGCCTCCCAAAGGATCCTGCTTGAATAATATTTTGCTTTCGATATCCTACAAGAAGGTTGACAAGGGCCAGGGCAGTATGTCAACTATCCAAGAGCCGTCACCCAGGAAACAATGTATACCGCGTGTACTAGGAAGGACAAGAAAAATAAAGGTAAAAAATAATTATTTGAACAATCTTAAATTCACCTTTTATAGGGTAACTATATGCAGAGCTCATCTACTCTTTACTCTAACCGCAGCTTCTCGAATTCACGAATCTGTTCTTCCAAACGAGCAGTCTCGCTCTCGGCATCCTTGAGCTTCTTCTCTTCCATCTCGCGCACCTCAGGCTTGGCCTTCTCCTTCCATGCAGCACTGCCCATGAGGTTAGTCTGACGAGTCACGACAGCACGGGCCTTCTCAAGGCTGGCCTTGGCCTTCTCCTCCTGTTCAAGAGCGACCTCCTTGGACACGCGGAGGAAGACAGCTGCCTCAGAGCCAACAGCAGACACCACGCAACCCGATGGCCGAGTAGTAGCCTCTGGACCCTGGATGCTGAGATCGCCCAGGAACTTACCACCCAGAGACTTGACGCTGGTCAGTTCGTCCGAGAGGGTCTTGTGGCTGGTGGCATCGTAGGTCTGGATGATGATGTCTCCCTTGGTCTTGACCTCATACTGGGAAAGAATCGAACGGATGGCACCAGAGGTCTTCAAGATAAGTTCGTAGGCAGCTTCAGCCTCGGGGTCGTTGAACTCAGCCTTGTATTCTGGGTACCGGGCCTTCATGATAGAAATAGTGTTGTCGTTGGGGCGGCGAGGCAGACGCTGCCAGAGCTCTTCGGTGACGAAGGGCATGATAGGGTGGATCAAGGTCAAAGCACCCTCAAGAGCAGTGTAGAGAGTCTGCTTAGCCGACTCCTGCACCTCAGCTGGCACTTCAGGAGCAAGGAGGAACTTCGAGTTCTCAATGAAGACATCACAGAGCTGGGCGTACCAGTACTGGTACACAGTAGTAGCAACAACGTTGAACTCACGCTGCTCCAGAGCCTCATTGATCTCCTTGGCAGCAGAGTTGAACTTGTGCAAGATCCAGCGCTCGGAAAGGGACTCGCGGCCAGTCTTCGAAACGGTAGGTTGAGGCTTGAAGTCGTCACCCAGCTTGCCGAGGACGTATTTGGTGGCCTGGTAAATCTTGTTACAGAAGCGACGGTATCCGTGGATAACCTGAATGTCAAATGCAATATCACCACCTAGGAAATAGTTAGACATTATGCTTCGAAGTTAGGGAAGACTTGAAAATCACATACCACCGGTAGTGTAAGACACAAGGGCAAAACGCAAAGCATCAGCACCACACTCAGGGATACCCTTGGGGAAAGCCTTCTTCTGATACTTGGTAGCAGTAGCCACCTCCTTCTCGGCAAGGTTACCAAGAAGAAGCTTATCATGGAGGGTCTGAAGTTGGATACCCTCCATAACATCAATGGGATCAATGACGTTACCCAAAGACTTGGACATCTTACGGCCTTCCGAGTCTCGGATCAGAGAGTGGCAGTACACCTCCCTGAAGGGAACCTGGCCGGTCAACTTGATACCCAGCATAATCATTCTGGCGACCCAGAAGAAAAGAATATCCCAACCAGTCTCCAGAACGGAGGTAGGATACAAGTTCTCAAAGTCATGGGTCTTGTTGGGCCAGCCCAGGGTGGAGAAGGGCCACAATCCAGAGGAGAACCAGGTGTCGAGCACATCAGGATCCCTCACCAAATCGAATTTCTTGCCAGGGAACTTGGCCTCGGCCTTCTTCCGAGCCTCCTCTTCAGTACGGCCAGTGACCCAGAGGTTGCCATCACTGTCGTCGTTTTCCTCACCCTCGATCTTAACAAAATAAGCAGGAGCCTGGTGACCCCACCACAACTGTCTGGAAAGACACCAGTCGTTAATGTTCCTCATCCAGCGGAAGTAGTTCTTTTCGGCAGACTCTGGCTTGATGACAATGTCACCCTTTTCGACAGCCTCGATGGCAGGCTTGGCAAGACTTTCCATCTTCATCCACCACTGGGGCTTGAGGATGGGCTCAATAACATCGTTGGACTTGGCACAGCGAGGGATCTTCATAGGGTTGTGCTCCCACTTGACGTAGAGTCCCTTCTCCTTCAGAAGTTCGATGACCTTGTAACGAGCATCGAAACGCTTCATACCGGCAAAGATACCACCGTTCTTGTTGAAGGTACCATCGTCGTTCATCACGGAGATGAACTCGAGGTTATGGGCCTTTCCACGGTTAAAGTCATTGAAATCGTGAGCCGGGGTGATCTTCACAGCACCAGTACCGAACTCAGGATCGACATCGGTGTCTGCAACGATCGGAAGCAAGCGGTCCACGAAGGGGTGCTTGGCAAACTTGCCGATCAGGTGTTGGTAGCGCTTATCCTCAGGGTGAACGGCGATACCAGTATCACCAATCATGGTCTCGGGACGAGTAGTGGCAATCTCAATCCTTTCCTTAGTGCCATCAATCTCGTAGCAGAAGTGAGTCAAAACACCGAACTCAACCTTCTTTTCGTAGCCGGGCACATCCAGCAGGGTACGTCCTTCAACCTCTTTGTTCTCGACCTCCAGGTTGGAGAGGGAGGTGTTCAGAGCCACACACCAGTTAACCAGGCGGTTGGCACGGTAGATGATGCCCTCTTCGTGCAGGCGAACGAAAGTCTCGGTGACGGCAGCGGACAGGTTAGGGTCCATAGTGAAGGCCTCGCGAGACCAATCAAAGGAACCACCAACTCTGCGCAAGGCGTTCTTGATGTTGGCGTGGTATTCGTGCTTCCATTCCCACACGCGGTCTGTAAAAACCTCGCGACCCAAATCGTGGCGGGTCTTCTTCTCCTTCTTCCAAAGCATCTTCTCCACGACGCTCTGGGTGGAGATACCGGCGTGGTCCATACCAGGCAACCACAGGGTAGTCTTGCCCTTCATACGCTGCCAACGAATCATGGTATCTTGGAGGGCATTGGTGAGGGCGTGACCCATGTGAAGAGATCCGGTAACATTAGGAGGAGGAATAGGAATGACGAAGTAGCCCTCAGGCTTGACCTTGTTGTCAGAACCGAATTCGGGCTTGAAAAGACCACGCTCCTCCCACCATTCATAACGGCCAGTTTCGATAACCTTGGGATCGTACGCATCGGTAGTTTTCTCCTTCTCGACCTTCTTCTCTTTCTTCTCGGCCTTGGGGGCAGGGGCAGGCTTAGCTGCTGCCTTGGCCTTTTTCTCAGCGAACTTCTTCGCCTTCTCGGCCTTGCGTCGCTCACGCTCCACTATACATTCAGAGCTGGTGTCAGACGTTGCGATAGCCAGTCGACGCACTTATGCGCCAGGTTCGTGGACGACAAGGAACATACATTCTTTCTCGGTCTTCACCTTAGGAGCAGCCGCGTCGGCATTTTGGTTTCTCGTCTGGTCATCGGCTTGGGGGGGAGTATCAACCACGGGAGCCGTGGGCTCACCAGCTGTCATGACACACGATTCCGTTAGCTTCTGATCTATAGCTCGCAGATGGGCCGGTAATGAGTCATGGCGAACCAAGAGCACTTACTGGGATTTTGGGGGGCAGAAGGCTGGGCCATCCTGGAAAATGATCGATAGAGAGGAGGAGGAAATCTCCAAGGCGCCGATCGCGCCACGAATCGTCGGATAAGTATCTTGACCACCGGTGACTCCAACGGCGATAGAGAACAAGGAGGGGGAGGGGTCGCTCGTTGTGCGAATGCGGGCAATTAAATTTCCTGGCGCGCAGAGCAAAGAACGGAACGAATCAGAGGTTGGAAGATGAGTGCGGGGCCCAGAAAAAAACACCACCGGTGGAGAACGATTGGTTCCAGTGGAGGTTATAGTAGTATTTAAGCCTGAGGCATGGGTCGGGCAGTTCAAAGTCCCAAAGAATCCTCGGATTGACCACTTTTTTTACTTCTTTCGCTCTTCTTTCGGTCTTGTCAACTTCTCACTGGACTTTTTATGCGATCGCCCATGAGTCATGTCACGTGATTATATCGTCCAGTTGATGGAGTGAGAGCAGCACTCTGTAGAGGGATCTGATACGGCAGGAATGCTGCTGCTATCAAAAATACGATCGAGACGAGGATTGTTTATTGTTCTCCGGAGACCAATCTCCTGGATTCTTTTCAGGCCCGGCGCCATCTATATAACCTCTGCACTCAAGATATCAAGTGGGATGGAACTATTCCACAATGCATTCGATAGTCTCCTGAAAGGAAAAGAAAGCCCAGATTCATAAAGCACCAAACTATGTAGACCCTCACGCCTTTCAATGGCGCAGTATGTAAGGAGTTGCAGACAGGAAATGTGATCAAAGGGTGGAAGTGACAATGTTCGAAATGCAAAAATGATAGCGAAGAAGAAAATTCCATTGACAACAGTCCAACAGTTACGAGGAAAGGGGGGAGGGTAGAAACTGCACAAGACTGAAATCACCGTGCTTGCGCAGAAGACACAAGCAGCAAAGTCCGTTAATCTCACTCTAAACACCATCGAATAAATCCCCTCACTTGGTGCGCCAAGAGTAATGAGCTGAGATGGGCTCGGGGGCCCATCGTATTAAGGGTATGTCATCTGTTCATCATCGTCGTCTCCGTCCATATGGCATAACTCATCACATCCATGGCGCTTTCAGTGTTTCTTGTCCAGAGCGACGCAACAATCATTTGCTACGTCGCCGTTTGTAGCTCTTTCTTGTAATAAAACCATCTCCTTGTCTCAACCCGAGGCACTCAAAATGTAAACTAAATCGATGTTTATCAGCAGCAGCAGATTGTCAATAATCGCGGAGGGCGCTAAACAGTAAACCCGAGGTTTCGGTGTATAATAGCTGTAAGGCTCTGGTGCGCGCTTGCGGTTTATGTTTACAATCCCCTATTGTTCTGAGCTTGCACTTCTGGCCGGACAGGATCAAAGTAAGGGTGAGCCATGGCTTCCTGTGCGGTAAGACGTTCCTAGACGACAGTCAGTTACATGTTACGGAATTGAGAGAGCTTTCATGAGCCATACCGCATGATCGTATCTGAGAAGTTTGTCTAGGAAATCGATTGCCTCATCAGAGACGAAGCGCTGATTCTCGGCATTGACAAAGGAATGCCAGGCCTTGCGGGGGAAACGGGAAAGGATTTCATCATATTGAGGGTCCAGCTCAATTTCATATTTATCCAGGTACTCAAAGAGTTCCTCCGTACCGAGGACCTTGGCGATCTTCACCAGTTGGTCCGAGTTGCTGTTTCCATGGAAGAAAGGCTCCTTGCGGAAGATCATAGATGCGAACATGGCACCAAGTGACCACATGTCCAGAGAATAGTCGTATTCCTGGAAATCAACGAGCAGCTCAGGGCCCTTAAAGTATCTAGAAGCGACACGGACGTTATACTCAGTGCCCTTATGGTAGAATTCGGCAAGACCCCAATCGATAAGACGCAACTGGAGATGGGTCAGTATATGTATTTACATCAATCCAGCCATGAAAAACTCACCTTGCGCTTCTCATGGTCGATCATGACATTGTGAGGCTTCACATCACGATGCATGATACCCTTGCTATGGCAGAAGTCCAACGCCTTGAGGAGCTCATAGACATAGTAGCGGACATCGTAGTCGGAGAATCGCGGATAGAGTGTGCGAAAGTCGGTATTGTTCACATACTCGAAAACCAGACTCGGGGTCTTGCTCTGACTGTCGCGGACCACATCCAACAAAGCTACCACGTTGGGACCACCTGCCAAATTCTGAAGAATCTTGATTTCACGCTTAATCTTCTTCTTCTTGACTGGTTTAAGGACCTTGATGACACACTTCTGGTAGTTGACAACATTGATACCTTCAAAGACTTCCGAGTACTTTCCACGGCCTATAATAGCGATTGTTAGCATGAATCATCATCCTCACGCACTGACCGCCTGACCCCACGACGACCATATCGAGGTAGTTAGGTGACGGCGGAGAGATCCCGTTGTTGCGCCTTACCGATCTTGCGGACCACTTCATAGTTCTCTAGAACACCCCAAGAGATGTTGACACTGTCATAATCCCAGTAGGACCGAGGCATATGCTCGTTAACATCGGCATAAACGCGCGCCATGGTGATGGCGGCTGACAAGCAGATTTCGAGTCCGCCCACAATCGGATGTCGAATATAAAATGCGGCGGGGTAGAGGGGTGGAGTGATGAGGGAATAGTCGCGACCAAATATCCGAATTGAAGGACAGACAACACCAGCTGCAAGACTAGGAGCTAAGGGACCCGTCCAAACAGTGCAGCCGTGCTATCGCCCCGAGCAACGATGAACCAGAGGGAGTCTATATATTAGAGGTTAGATGATCAGAATGGCTAAGAGCGTTTCGCTCCGCCTTCACGGGTCACGTGGCAGTGCTATCGATCAGGCTAGACCGGAGTTCGGAGAAGGTATTGACGCGGGGTGATTTTCTGATTTCCTTTCTCGGACAGTTCCCAAGATATACTTCTCATGCACTAGAAGAGGAGGAACCCAAAAACACCGTTTGGACGACGATTTCCAGACCACCCGGCTTGGCTCGAGCTTTTAAAGCTAAACAGACACCATGTTCTACGATCTGAACGTGCCGTGCGGCCCAGACGATCCCGAGATCTCTCCAACTTTAAGCTTTCTTGCAGAACGTATGTCATTTTTCCCGGCCACACGACCAACATTGGAGATGATCACTTTGGAAGAAAGCTGACCAGACTCCCAGTCGGCTACACAACTATCGCCCTCTCGCAAACCCTCAACGGAAAGCTTCCTCCAAATCCTACTCCCCCACCTGTTCCCACCAATGTTCCCAAGGGCCTGACGATACTCACCCGCGTGAACTTACCACTCTCCGACCCCACGCAGAATCAGCGACTTACCACCCTCACCCAAGCGTATGATCTAGTAGCAATCCGCCCAGCCAATGAAAAGGCCCTCTTGAATGCGTGCACCAATCTGGAATGCGACGTGATTTCCTTAGATCTCTCCGTGCGGCAGCCATACCACTTCAAGTTTAAAATGCTCTCCGCCGCTATCGCACGAGGAATTCGCTTTGAAATATGCTACGGGCCGGGAGTCACGGGGAGCGGCGCCGACGCCCGGCGCAACCTCATCGGTAATGCTATGTCACTGATCCGCGCAACACGCGGAAGAGGAATCATTATCTCAAGTGAGGCCAGGAAGGCTCTGGGTGTTCGGGCGCCGTGGGATGTGATCAATCTGGCATGCGTCTGGGGTCTGTCACAAGAGCGCGGCAAGGAGGCTGTTTGCGAGGAGGCGAGAAAAACGGTTGCGTTGGCGAAGTTGAAGCGCACGAGCTGGCGTGGGATTATTGATGTCATTGACGGTGGAGAAAAGCCGAAACCGAAGACCGACAAGCCTGCGTCTAAACAAAAAGGCGCCGCATCCAAGCAAAAGGACGCTCCTCAATCCGAGAGCAACAGTGACACTCTCAAGAGAAAAGCGTCTGTAGAGGAGACTGAAAAGCCGTTGTCGAAACGGGAGATGAAGCGCAGAGCTAAGAAAGCTCGGCTGGGGCTGGTCGATGGTGAAGACAGTGCGACAACGCCAGCCAATAGCTAAAGCAAGCACTCATCGATATTCACAAGGCTTGTATTCACGCAGTGGATCGGCGGGGCTCCCAGTGCCACTACCCATCATTCAGCTCGCTCAGGAGCCCATGAGCTGAAAATGATTTTTTAGGCGATGGCCCTAAGCTTTTTCTCACATGTGCCATGTGCTCCTGAGGTGATTTTTATTGCCATGGCCACAAGGCTACGGAGTAACGTAAACTGCATTCTAGGTTGAGAACAGCTTATCGAATGTATCACGCACAGCACGGAAAGAACCGGTAAACGGTCTGCGTTGGGAACTGTTTCTTATACAGTGACCACTCCACTGATATTCTATATCCGTCGGACCCGTTATCCGGGTCAGCTAGCAACTAGCAACCGCCAGTCATGAGCGGAGCTAGTATCACATCTCACGACATGTCCATCTATATCTTATAACATATAGCTAGTCAGCAGATATTGATGTGATGAAACCTTCCAAATATGAACGGCATGGTTTTCTTGTACAAAGTTTTCCTATTATCCAAGTATTAAGTAAATAAAGGCTTTCCCAGTTACAGTTAGGGCAACAGCTCGGAAGTGGGTTACCATCCTCCATAACATTTGAAGTAGTAATCAAGATGTTTAAGTAACGGAAAGGAGAAGAAAAACAACAATTAAAATGGAAACTGTTATACAATAACTAACACCTGCGCTGTGTTGAGCGAAGATTTATGGAAATTGATGGGGTAACGTTTGGGGTGAGCGAAATATATACTTTTACATGGATAGCGGATACAAACCACCCTGCAGTCTTGCTACATAGTAGTTGCTCTTATAGATTCGTCTATTACTCTTGAAAACCAGGTATTGAGTTACATTAGAAGTCATATTACCTTCAAACTATATTTCAGACCACGCTAAACACAAAAGCCCGCTTAAAGTCGTATTAAAAAGCACTATTCTACCTCCGAAATGCAACTAATGCCAGCGTCACTTACATCATGTCTCATCCTGATAAGTCAGGTCCGTAATGGGCATCAAAAGGGTATGAACCGAAAGAAGTCAACGTTCACCGAAAATGAGGAGCAAGGTTAGGTATAAAGATATATATGCAAAGCGGAGAGAGGAGGAAAAGGTGGAGAGAAGATAAAAGGAGGTAGATGGAGAAGAAGGCCCAGAACAAAGATGGAAGAAGCTTATTAATGCTCGTATCCTCCAGGGAAGACAGGCCACGGTATGTGAGAAGGCAAATCTGTTGTTGACCCTAAATAGGAAGGGAAAAAGAGAAGAGTAGGGTGCATTGGCTACCCAGAAAATGGGAGATAACTACTAAGAGGTGCTCTCCAGCTCTACAAGAACTCGTAGATCACCGTCCATCCAGTCTACGTTCCCGGCAGAGAGGAGTGAGATCGTCCACTCGCCGTCATTCTGGACAGGAGTCAGGCCCTCGGGCAACCAGACTTTGAATCTCCAGCCCAACGAGGACATCCAGGCTGCAGGGTCCAGCGAAGGGTCAGAGGGTAGACCTGGCAACTGGCCCGCGAATCGACGACACAGTATCTGTTTCAAAGCCTCAAGATCGGGACAGTGCCCTGCAGGAAGGTCTACCCGGGGAAGGACACGTTTCCCGTTCTGCATGATATTGATTCGCAAAGATATTGGCGCTTGAGAGGTTGTTGGGGGGTTTGGCATAGTTAGACCCGTTGGGAGGGGCGGGAAATTTGATGGATGCATGGACGCGTGGTCGTCGGTAGACGTTTGAACGCCATGCTTCGTGGCGATATTATCACGGATAATGCGAGAAAGGTCGCGGGTGATACTGCTTGCACTGTAAGGGAGTTAGTTTCATGTTACATACCGAGGAAAGTGGTCATGGGAGTGTGGCAACATACAACTCATTCCTGGCAACTTGATTGCGATCTCCACCAAGCCTCCACCGTAAACCCGACACAGAGTTTGCATGTAAAATATGGTTGATATTCTCATCCTCACATGGTGTGGGGCAGTCAAAACTACCGTTGTGAAAGACTTGATAATGGCTGTCAACAGCAGCTACTAACCCACGCCAATCTGGCTGTTGTAGGCCCGAGATATACCATAGGTTGTCGAGCTCGTAGTTTTGATTGTAGGCTTCGTATGTTTTAGAGATGGCATCCCAGTCAGCTGGATAGCCATCAGGGAGCAGATCTGTCAGGCCCAACTCCATGTCTTGGGAAGTCGGCCCCAACTCGGGGTGTGTTGGCGCATACCCTTCGGGAGGATGATGTTGTGCGTGCATCTGGAGTTGTTCCTCAACGGGAAACTTGGGGGGACTGGCACTATTCATATTCTGGAGACTATCTTCTGTTTTCCTTCGTCGTCGCTCCTCTGATCCACCTCCCTTCCTCGTCTCAACTGCATATTGCCTCTGTCGTTCATTGGTGACCATACGCCGTAGCAGTGGAATGACCAGCGCAATGATTTTTTGCTGGTCCCGGGGCCAAACATAGGTCCTGGGACCCATGCCCTCGTTGACTACATTTTCACCGAAAAAACGTTCACCATGGCCCTCAATTTCGAGAAAGTGGCGCACACAATTCCAAAGCCTCAATTTAACCATTTCCGTGTCTCCTTTGCCACGTTGACCGACACACTCACGTCGTTCTGGATGCTTGTCATCGAGCATATATGCCTTAGCAGCGGCTTGTAAATGTAGGAAGTTTTCTGGTGATAGTTCTAGTGAAGCAAAAAGCTTCGACATAGGTGGTCGGGTATACTTCTTGTTGCTCGAGGGCTGACGGAACAGAGCAGCTGCGGAATGTAAACCAACAGCACGCGCTTCCGATAAGGACTGAGGAGGTGCAGACCGGATATCGAGGCTTTCACCACCATAATGATGCGAACTGTGATGGTGGGGCTGCTGCTGGTGACCACCAGGTCCAGACGCTGTTAAGGCTGGGTCGAGAGGGCCATCTCTCTTTCTCTTCTTTGACACCGTTCTTGACAGTCCCGAAGGCTGACTATGTTCGTTGGGGGATGGCCCTGGTGCTCGTAACTGTCTTCCAGCGCCCAGCCCTGTCCCAAAACCTGCATCTGCAAAGCTATCATCTTCGATATGAATATCCGGAGGGTAGCCGTCTAGATGATGCTGATGCCCGGCGGCACCTGCAGCGGCAGCGACTGCAGCGGCGGCGGCCCATTCCGATACGTCTTGGCCAGCCGCTGCCGTAGCAGCTTCTACCAGCCCAGCAAGTTGACTTTCATTTGGCGCATAGCCACTCGTGGCGATGTTACCGTTCGGGTCGATGTTAGAGGAAGGAGCGGTTTGATGAGCAGAAAACTCAGCGGCTGAAGTCGAAGGATGTTGGTGATGGGAGGCAGAAGACGTCATGACAGCAACTTTGGCGTAGAAAGCCACAATGAGTAGCGTCTCGCGTACGTATTAGGGAAAAAAAAGATTGAGGAAACGAGAATCAAGTCCGGGGACCGTGAGAACTGGTATCAATTTAGTTCACTATAACCACGCGACGCGCAAATGATGGTGGCGGGCTGTTGCGGAGGATTTTATTTTTGGCACACAAATGGGACCGCAGGAGAACTAAAGGCTTGTCGTTTGTACTGTTCAACCGTCCTTGTCAATTCCTAAGGCAATAGCTACCTAGAAGTAAGTAGCATAGACCGATTGAAATGAATACGCTCAGCGAAGAACTGCGCGCAGTCCCCTTGCGGGTTCGCAAGAAAAACAGGACTCGCCAATGAGCCCGGAGCTTCCGTGAAGCGGGCGCAAGGCCAGATCTCGTCGTCCAAGAAGACTGACGAAGATACGGAAGCAGAACGCTCCAGTACGTCTATCCGAATGAGCTCGCGCGATTCGCGATAAGTTAATCAATCAGATCGCTTGGTTCGGCCTAGATGACGTTGTTTGCGCGGTTTGAAGGATGGGCAGACAATGCAAACTCTGTAAAGTCGTCGACTGCCGGAAGGATCACATGACTATAAACGACGGGTTACTCCGGTTACTCGCTACGTCATGATGGAATGTGTCAATTTACTCCCTTGAAAATGGACATAAAAGATTTAAAAATAGAAAAGAATGAAATGGATGCTTCTCGGCTCATATCAATAACCATTTGGAACCAGCCAAACTGCAATTGGAGTAGGTATCAACACATTTTTTGGAACATATGGCAACGAATATGAAACAATCCAACGTTCAATCCCAAATATTTCGAAAGAAGGGTAGAAGTAAACAGCATGGAGAGTCACGCAAAAAGCACGGCCTCCGAGATCACAATGCAAAGGCGGAACTATAAACAAGAAGGTAACTCTATGGCTGCGGGCGTGAGCGTGAGCGTATATCATGCATGGCGAAATGAAAGACTTGAAAAGAGCACTGGGACCGAGGGACAGTAATGTCGAAAGTGCGCATAATCTTGTGTAAGACCATTGACCGGCAAGTGAGGACGAGAGTTGTGAAGTATTTGGTGCAGTCGTGAGGCAATTAGAACCCATCACCTTCCTTCCATAGTCTGCCCGCCTCTAACGCTCTCGCTTTTGGGTCCTCTCCGCGCTTTGTGGCGTTGCGTAGTATCTCCTCGATTGTTCGTTCCTTTTCGAAAATTAGCTGCTCCAGCTCAGTATCTCTACCCGGGTCGGGCACTGAGATGTGGCTTTGTTCGCCTAGGGTTCCTACGATTCGCTCGATTTCGATGGCCTCTGCTTCTCCGCGCCAAAACTTGAGGTCCTCCTCCAACTCTCCCTTCTCCGAGTGTAATCTTCGAAATTCATCATATTTCTCTTCGCCTCCAAAACAAATTCCGTAGCCGTCGCAATAACAGACGTGCTCCTTGGGACAGACGACATTTTCACCCGTAAACACGACATGCCACAGATATTCCCAGATTCGGCCAGAGATGTAGTCGCTCAATTCCGTTCGAAGGATCCAGTCACGATAGTAAACGAAGCGTGCTTTCGGGATGGAGAGAATGCGCTCGCGCGAAACGACAAATTGGGCACAGCATGGCTGTGCGAGGACATCGGGGATTGGGTCACCCGGGAAGATTTCGCCCCACGACCTGGCCAGCATGGTTTCTTCTTGCTTATGTTCATCCTCCTCCAATGTGCCTGGATGTAGCCAATCAGGACAACCAGGCGCCCATGTACAACGCAAGTTCATGAACCCTTCTCGGACCACCCGCGCGGGGTTTAAACGTTGCAGCATCTCGGCAGCATTCCCGTTGAATATCTCGTCATTATGCCAAGCGAATTGGTGTGAGTGCATGAAGGCAATAATGTCTGGTAGCTTGTCGTAGTGATCAATAATATAGCTCAGATAGACTATGACCTCATGGCCCTTGTTCTTGGGAGGATGTAAAGGCGCCGAGAGATCGTCAACCACGTAAACAGCAGGCTGCCACTCCGGAATTTCCAATTTAATCCATTCTGTGTCTTCCTCGCCAGCTTGAGGCACCACTAAGGTCCTCGTATATGTTGACCCGGGGGGTTTAGGAATACCAGGCGCATAATGCGGTCGAGGCGCGTAAGGCTCTCTCGAAGGCTTATCAACTGTCCCAGAAATGTTCGCATAGCCAGACGCCGTTGGATACGGGGTCGCAACCAGATCGCCCAGGCCCACAACTTGTGGCATATTCCGCCATTGCCGGGAAAGACTGCTGACCGTGTATAGGAAGACGATGAAGAAGGCGAGGCCGAGGAGGGGAATCGCGCGCCGTGAGAAAATCATGAGATGCGGTTGTGAACAGTCACACAAGCAGGAGTATTAAATAATAATTTGCTACAGCAATCCATGTAAAAAGCAGTTAGAATGAGGGCTAAATAGAACATGGTGTCTTGCAAAAATGAACCGACCACTTCATCCGCGAAGCCTCCCGCGCGAGAAAGGCCAGGGAAAGCGATTTGCAGGCGCCTTTGAGAAAACCCAGGCTGAGGGAACTCACAAACAACTAAGGAAGTGAAACTTCATGGAACGGCCAATTGATCGGTCAACGAGAGTAATTTTCTTATTTGTACATATGTTTTCGCGGCGTCAGGGGCCAAAAGGAAAAGAAGCCAAGCCACAGCCACGCAGTAAGAGGGTCCTAAAGTGAAACAAAGGAAAGGAGCTCCGCTCCGATAAAGATAATCATCCGACTGAGGACATTAGCAGTGGACTGTTCAACTCGTATTAAAAAGTAAGTACGTAGCGGACCGGGGAGGGAAGGACTGGGGGACGGGAGGCGGAGATGCTGTCGTCAGCAATGATGAAGCCGATCCGCGACTGTGGTTACAGTGCAGGATTCAATCATGAAATCATGACCAATGACCACGTTTTCCCCCTTTGGAAAACAAGCACGTAACACTTAACCTTAATCCTGTCGAACCGTAACGGTTCATTTTTTTACTATTTTATTTTTATTTCTTCATCTTTTCTGGGAGCCCCACCGTGAATTGTACTACAAAGAGAGTTGGCAGATAAGATAGGAAAGTCTCTGCAGAATGTAGGAATTGTATGAGGATTGTTTTCTAACTATCCTTAAACTTTAATCAATTTTAATACTACTTACTACTTATGGACGGTTCTTGTGTCGAAACTTAGGGTTCAAGTTGGTTCAACATGCATCATGGATGCTACTTTCCCTTTCCCGAATAAGGCTAGCTCAGGGCCGCTTTTTGCTCAGTGAGTGATTTGATCCCAGAGCGTGGGGGGAAGGCGGAAAGTACGTGTGCTGAGCAGTACCGACCTTGTCTCAGTCGAGGTCATATACACAATAATCTCTTTTAGTACAGATCTAGCCAAGGATATATTCAAGCAGTTTCCCCTCCCCTTTTTTCAAAATAATATGGTGAGTATCACAGACATCAGTCCAAAGGGTCTTCGTCCACATCCGGCTATAATACATATCTCAGGCCCAATATTGAAGCTTCTGCTGTGAATGCAGTCTAAGATGCGGGTTCTCAAGGGCAGAAGGGAGCAAGAAGCCATAGACAGCATCAACCTGCAGGTACAAGGACGGAGATTATGAAAGTGTAATATCTTACATTGTAAGTCATTACTTGCTTCTGCTCAGCCATTTTTTCAATGGCCAGATGGGGTAGTATATTCAACCCAATAGAGCAACGCGGAATGATCGTAATCATATACGATAGATCTTATCAGACACGAGGATGTCTTGAAAATATTTTCACATCACGGGAGTAAAGCCTAACAAGGGAAAATTACACACAAGCAACTGGCCGCGATTTTCCATTCCTCGAACATCATATGACCTCCAACGGCCCAATCCGAGCAAGTATAAGTAGGCATGGCTTTGATTATTGTCACTTGACAGCCGTCTCACACCTCTGTTTGATTGAATATGTAGTGTAGATAATAGTATTCCTATATGTATGCCTCCACATACTTTGCATAGACTGCAAGGCTTTAGAACCAGCTCCTAATCCCTTGCCTTTAAGGCCATTTCGCTTGCATTTGGAGCGAGATATATATACATTTTGCCCCGGACACGTCATGAATACGCTAGGACGAGAATTTACCTGAATGGCCTTTGGTCTCCTGGATAATGTCTATTGCGTAGATACAGAGTGTGGGTGCATAATTCTAAACTTAGACCGTTTTCACGCCCACATTCTGGACCAAAGCTTTCATCTCTGCTTGTAACGCTGGCTCTAGCATGGCAAAAGGCTTTCGGGGACGAGGCCGTGGACACCGGCCGTGATGCGTCGTTCGACGAGCACTTGGAGACGATCTTTGTCGATGACCGTCTGGTCATCCGTGCCGGGCGTGGATTAAGGCCACCACCAATTATTCCATGAAGGTCTACCATTGTGCTGATGTTGATGATTCTGGAAATACGGTGTGTATAGCCTGCGAGCAGGACGGACAATGGAAAGGGAGTTAAAATGCGGATGGCCGGAGGACAGGAAAGTTCTCGTAATGCTAACAGTAAAGATTTTATATCCGATCTATCCGTGATCACTAACTCTACGCTCGCGATGTTTTGAATGACTGTCGAATTTGCTGGGCCACATATCGTCGTCCCCAAGGTTCATACCTAAAAATGGCAAGCAGTTCCGTGGGGTTTCCTCCCGCCCGACCCCAAATTTGCCCATTCAAGGAAATCGGGGCAAGACTGGGGTAAGGCTGGGGTAAAACTGGGGTAAGAAGATCCAGTAGTATCGAGCTAGGAAGCATTCACACAACGACTACAAAGAGTTTCCAGACTGTTAGGAAAAAGAGGAAGAGTATTCGATGAGCCACCACCTCCGAAAACACGCTATCTTAGCTACTCGTGAGTGTGGCTGGCTGGGTCTATGTATACTTATGTTGGGGTTTACGCATCACTTTAATGATATTTATTACGCAAGATACCTCCCCCACTAATTGCCTTGAATTGCAATAAGGTACAAGAACGCAGTTCTTGTGGCGCGACTATGTTTTGGATGATGGAAATGTGTGGGCCCGAGTACGAGTAACTCATCTTATATTTGTATCAGGTTAGAGCCACAGGAAGGTTCCTGTAGGATCTTGAACACTCACACAAGGTATATGCCGCACCGGATAGCTCAAATCCCACTCGCCCAAAGAGCATTTTACCCACGTCGTCAATTCCATAAACACTAGGATGGCGTAACTTGAAGACGCCGACCATCCAGTTCGACCAACTCGTCATTCTGGCAATTGTAAGAAGAATGATAATCCCAGGCACAATTCCGAGGATGTCGAAAACCTTAGGCATCGAAAGAACACTGAGACCAATTTGGGCTTTGATCATCAGAGCTGTTGTCCCCATCCAGCTCACCTAGACCACGTCAGTCGAGTCTGGTTTCGAGGCACATCACAAGAAAGCTTACATCACGATAGTTGGTATCTCCTTCACGAATCTCGCCGAAGACAGCATCATCTTGAATGTTTTCGCTAACGAATCCTTCGCCAGTCTGTGACTGCGTATGTTTGATATCTTCAGGGCCAGGTTCCGAGGTTATCTGTTTCTTCATGATAGGCAACGGAAGACACGAGGAACTTAGAATAATGTGACCTTCACAACTAGTAGTCCAGCATCTGCACGGAGCACATGCATTATTTAGACCTGGAGCCCCCCCCATATACCGCTAGCTAGTATGTGGAGTCGGCCAACAGTCAGATATGAGCATGGGGGAGGGGGAAGCACACAAAGCAGGCAACTTCTTCCGGGGGTAGAGGACTATCACTTGCAAAAGCCGGTTCTTATCATCGCCACTGAGCATGGCGCTTAGGGTTTATGTCTCGGTTACCCCAACTACTTCGACGGACCCCCGTACTCAAGTCTTCCGTGGGCTTCAGATCCACTATTGATTCACCCTTCGCTTCTAATTGCTTGTCAATAAAGGGCGGATAACACAAATATACCTATCAGGGGCCCTAGCTGAATGACGATTCCAACCTACTGAGAGGCCTCGTGGGAAAGCGCTTCCATGCGCCACGCCAGCTTTCACCGGCTGGAATTCTTACTAGACATTCTACTATTATCTAGTGAAACTCTTCGCGGGATACTGCGCCCTTGGGCATAGATCCATGTGTATGCCACGCGCGACTTCTCATTCTCCCGCTTGGCCACAATGGATTGGCGCTATCGCTGATATGGCCTTAGAAGATTGATAGCTAGACCACAAACTCTTTTAATATATGTACATAAATACGTAATTCCCTCGTACCGAGCTGAGGAGCCGCTGATTCTCTATACTTCCGATATTGCAGCCTTGTGTGGACAAAAGTACATTAGAGGCGGCTCCTTGGAGCCCTGTCTTTGTCCACAATCGAGTCAATCAGCTCTCGGACCTTTAAAGCCACACCGTAACTGAATATATAGCCAAGGCCAGCAAACCCGTAGGCATGCACTACGTCATCCTCAGCCTCGAGGCGATATCCTCCTTTTCTTCCCGGCCGGAAGGCGACAATATCCTTCTGAACATCCTTGTCCAGCTCGACCGAGCTAAGACCCCCGTCAGTAAGGATATTGATGCGCTTTAGGATGTCCGCGCGTAGGGCCTTGTCCACATTGCGATCCAAGCTACCGGGCTGGCTGACACCGCCGATGATGGCCCCGTTGGTGAACATCCGCGGAATGACATAGGTGTAGTGGGAACCTTGGTGCATCTTCAACTCGTTAAAGTCCGTCTTGACAAACATTGTTTGTCCACGAATGGCCTCTACATTCTTATCGCCTGCGAGAATATACGCTCCTAGCCCCGATGCGTGCACGATATATTCTGCTCCGGTGATCTTCTTTGCCTCCTGGATGGATCTCAGTGTCTTCCGAATAAATGTGATTCCACGTGCTTTAAGCTGCGCTTGGATCCATGGGAGTAAGAATGCTGGATTGATTGTCATCGACGTATATGTAAATCCAAGCTTTACGCCCTTTCTCCTTCGGAATTACACGATAGTGTGGGACCACTGTCTTGTACCAGATGCTCGAATCATCCTCCCGATCATCGTAGTGTTCCGTTGCCTTGATAACCTGAACGTAACACGGGTGGGATAAGTCAAGAGATCACATGAATGTCTGCGCCTTGGGCAACATACTTGAACGCCACTAGTTGGATCCCTATGCGCTAAGGCCCAGAAGTATTTAAAATTCTCGGTCTGGAGGCTGTGGCCGCCAACGTCTGGATGAGGAAAGATTGATACGCCCGCCCTCGATTTCCTGTCAATATGGGTTGCGATACAGACTAGGCAAGGCAATATACTCACCAGGGACTTGCCCAGTCCTGGGATTCATCACCCGGTAGATCGCGTGCAACGATAGCCACTCTGTAGCCGGCATCGGTGAGCGTCAAAGCAGAGAGAAGGCCGATGATACCAGAGCCAATGATGCCCACATGCGCCTTGATCGACAGCGGTGCCTGCACAATATATGCCTACGTACCCGGAAAATCCGGCCATCCGTGGCATTAACAATATCATCATCAGTGAACCTCTTGTCGACCAGGGTGGGGTGAAGTCTGTGAAGCATACGGTCGTTGTCACTCCCGGAAGATTGGATCGAAGTCCATGCGGCACTGGAAGTTCGTCCCGCCTTGCAGTTCTCTATGCGAGAGGACAAATACAAATCGGAGAGAAGGTTACCTTCCGCAGTGTCATCGAAACCGAGTTCATTGGCACAATACGGGGGACAGAGAAAGTGGGCAACATTGACGCAGTATTGCCAAACATTCAAGGCAGAGCATGGATAACAGGCGAGCGTAAAGTATTGCTAGACCCCTGATGACCCTTTTCAGGCCGGCTTCGTGATCTAAACTTGTAAAACATTCCTTTGCAAGGCGAACAAGCTGATCAACCTCTCCGTATGTCTACGCGTCATATTAATTGAAGCCATTATTTTTTTTAAAAAATATATATATATATATATATATCCAAGTAAACAAACCGTGAAAACAAAAGGAATAGAACAACATAAGAACAGTAATATGATCACACCTACTACCTAGAACCTCCCATCCCATTCCATCCCTGATTTCCCCTTCAATCTACCTAGCCATGGAAAAAAAAAAAAAAAAAAAACCGAGCATTTCTATAGAAAACTAAAACATTCTGACAATGAGGACATCGAGGGGTTTTATGACCTAGAATACCGCAGCCAGAGCACTTTTGTAGAACACATACACTAGTTTTCTAGTGCAGGCGCTCCATCTAGAGTAGCATAACCTAGCTTCCGAGGATTGGCATCATCATTCTGGCTTTTTCTGTGATCTCTAATAGAAATTGGAGAAGTGTACGTGATGAACATTGAAAAGAAAAAATATAGAAGCTAAAGGAGGGCAGGATATTTATACCCACGAGGACCTATATCTATAATACAGAGTATGATATATATCGAAAAAATGTTACTACTTTGGGACACGAACTACCGCACTGGAATGGAATAGGCATCTCAGGGCTGTCTATTGTTTACAGCTCAGAGCGAAAGTACGTAATTAGGCCTAAGCAGTAAACCACCCTCGCGCACGATATCGGGAGAGGCTGATGTAAACCCTTCGACCATTTGCTCCCACAAGTTTGCGCCACACGCTTCCTGCAATTGGGCCCCACGATACATGGGTGGGGTATTCTGCATTACCAGCTGGGCTGTTGGCCACATGGCGTAAGGATTCAGTGTACCTGTCACTCTGGACTGTTGTGAATGCCATAGAGCAGGACCAGTGTCTTCAGAACAGATCATGCCAGCGCTTGGTGCCAATGGTATCTCTCTGAGATGCTGCTGATAGCGTATTTCGCGTGTGCTGTTCGCTAACCACGATAACATGCTCTGGATCAATCACTGAGCAAAAAGCGGCCATGGGCTAGTCCTGTTCTCGAAAAGGGCATTTCCCCAGAAAATCATTTCGGCAGTATAAAATATCTATTTCTGCATCGACAGAACCTATGCAATCTGTTTTAAGACCTGCATGGAAATGTAAAACAATGAACGGAAGGGGAATCGGGCGAGGTTGATTGCTACCACTACTATGTACATACATGCATGTAAAGAGATCCGTCCACCCGTCAGAGAAAATAAATATTCTCCACGATCTCGATCAGATGGCTTTGCTAAATGGATTCCAACATTACAAAAAGGGGGAAATCACCAGGCATGAGTCCCATCGCATAGAAATTCGAATTCACAGACAACCCGGGTATGATCTTTCTGCCTCGCTAAGAACGCCGTTGAACGCTTGTGTCCCAAATCTGATAAGATAAATGCATCGGGCAAATGGATAGTGGGGAGTGAAGTACTTATGAAGGATATCAAAACAGAAGAAAACCAAAAAGCTCTAGAGGGGAATGCCATGTCATGTCTCATCATCCCCGACGTCTTCCACTGTTGCCACCCGCGCTTTGCCCTTCGACGGTGATGACGATGAGCCATCCTCTACCACACCGTCCTCGTTATGATTGACAGCCTCACCATGTTCAACGGTTAGTGAACTGGGTTTCTCAGTTTGTCCCTCAGTTGTTACTTCTGTCCATTGCTCGGACGCTGGTTCGGTATCGTCTGTCGCCGTGGTTGGAGACAGTGCTGAACCCCAACCCGGCAGGGCACGAGAGCCCGAATTCACCTGGCTAGGACCCTGTTCATTCTGACTTTCATTCAAACCATTTTCCGCCAACGCGGGCGCCTGGGACTCGGAACTGTCAGGCGTCTGTGCAGGTGGAGCTGTCACGGGAACAGTTGGAGTGGGCGTCACGTTTGCTGCTCCACTGGAACCCTGTTCCGCTGAGTGGAGGGGAAGAAGGGACCAGCCCGGAGGAAGGCTAAGTCCCTCGGGTAGTCGTGCATCGCCAGCCGTCATCGCTGGTGCTCTTGGGTCTGAAATAAATTGCCGGCGAGTTGTTGTTATTGTAGACGACGAAGGAATGGTAGGGTTCTCCGATAGATTGTTCGGCAAATCCAGGGGGGTTGCTAGAGGATCCTGGAGACTCCGAAGTCGCTGAAGCTCGGTCTGTAACAAGCGGACCAGATGAAGTTGATCTGCAGTAACCCGGAGATTGTTGATTTCCTGCATAATCTGCTGTTCCAATTGGGAAAGGTGGGTTTGCATATCAGAGACGGCCGTTGGGGCCGGCGAAGGGTGGGCAGTTGGTGGTGGTGGTGGTGGACGCCCGAAGCCAAAACCAAACCCGATTTGTCTCGCGCCAGGATTGCCATTATTTGCTGGCTGTAAGGGAGCATTGCCTTGGTGAATTTGCTGATGAAGATTGTGAAACATGTCTCCTCGGCCCGCGCCGAACCCGATCCGGAAGGGTCCAAATTGGTATACACGAGCCCTGGGTAAGCCATCAGCGGCTGCATTCCCCCCGGGAGGCTGATTCCCAGCAGGGCCACCTGGTAGACCCCCAGCACCCCCGTTGCCTTGCCCATCATTTACCCCCGCCCCTGGCTGGCCACGGTGACGAGGCGGTGCGACAACTGGGCGTCGACAGGTTGGGCAGTTTTGCTGTCTTTCCAGCCAGCTGCGAAGACAGGCGAAATGCAAGATGTGACCACAAGGGAGCTTCTTCGGGCGAAGTCTCTCGGAAACCCGTCCTCTTGTTGGCGCAGCTCCGTCCGCGGGTTGCCACTGTGCCATTTCCTCCCGACAAATAATGCAGACTTCTTCCCGTGCGATTTCCTCCGCAGTCGCATCTGGATACCGCTCGTTCATGTCACGAGTAGCATTGCGGTACCGAAGGAAATCCATGATCCTGCGACCGAAGGAGCGAATCGTCACTACTACGTCGCGCAGGATATGGATCGGTAGCCCGTAGAAGGTGAAGAGGATGGCAAAGAAAGTGAGATACACGGTCAGCTTCAAAAAGTCCGTAAGCAGATCGAGATAGAAAACCCAGCGGCCTTTTTCCTCCCATCCTGGGACATCAAGTTCCATCTCATTGATATCGTTTTCATCAGGTAAATTAGCGGGAGGAGAGAGTTCTCCGGCTTGCGCACTCTGACGAATGGCCTCCTGCCTCTCGGCTCGAATCTCCTGACGGCGCTCCTCCACCCTGGCCTTCAACTGTTGATGATTAATATATATCTCTACCAGAGAAATTGAGTACCTCGCGGCGGTCGAACTCGATAGGATGGTGAGGACGGCGAACTCGAAGCCGAACATGACCATCATGTCAGGGCGTGCTTGCTCAAGAACCGTCCGAACACAGTACTTTAACATGAAAGAATTAAACAGAACTGCGAGGAGCAGGGAAATTGCCAGGCGAGTATGGAACAGGCGAGGGTTGGCTGGGGGTTGCTGTTCCAGGTATTCCACACGGCCTTCGCCAATCCAGCCCCAAACCTTTCCGACGAGTAGACAAATGAACATAACCAAGAACCAGCCGCCCAACTCCCCCCGGAATATGGTCATGGCCAGACAGGTTTCCGTAACCGCGAACCATGCCTTTTCATACAACTGTTCGGTTTCGATGGGTCGCAAGGGGCCGTAGAGGAGACGTTGAAGCCAGAAAAGAAGGAAACCGACCGCTAACAGACACACATTTGTCAGGATCTGCATCTGTTAGAAGATATCCTCTCAAGTGGTCCTTGGGGGGTAGAGATCATTCAAGAGCACATGCAGCGGCGACCTACCATGAGATTGGCACTGCTTTGAGAGAGGTAAACGCAGGCCGAGTAGAAATTCGCCCTCTGATGAAGTGCCTTGAGAAAGACACCCGTGGCTAGGGCCACCGAGACCTGTGGAGTGAGGCAGGGTTAACTTTCCATTGAATGCGAACCAAACCATGCGTGCCACTTACCCCAGTATATGCGGCGAGTCTCATGGCAACCAACAGAGGCGGGCGAGAAGCCCGATGTCCTTGACAGAAAGCCGAAATTAAAAAGCAGTAAGAGTTGTCAGAGGGACATCGACAGCGGCTAAAAAGTACTAACACAATGGGAGGAGAGTAAAGTGAAAAAATTCAGGCCAGGCGATCGCGTGGGCGGGAATTGGAGATGTTCTGGACAGCTATGCTATACTTTGTATAAGCAATGGGGGGATTCAATTCAGTCACCGCCCGCCGGGACCTTACGTCAGCGCGGGTGTTCCGGTTCTTGTCTCCTTTCAGTTTAGTCTGGGAATGGGGTTTATGGATATGGATACGGAGTCACGGGGGTGTATATACTATAACGAGTACAGTAGGCCAACCAGGGCATATGTACATTAGCGTGTCGAACTCGAAATCAGATAAACAAAATAAAGTTCGAGCGATGCAACAAGTTTAAAGTAGAATTCCGAGGCAGACTCGGTTCGATCGGAGCTCACTCCAACGCGCAGTCAGGTGACGTTGGATGTATCTCTGTTTTAAAGTCCACAGCTGACGTTTTCCCTTCATCTGCCAAGAACTTCTTCCCTCCAGATCATATAACCTAAGTGTATACTTATCCATGATTCCCGAGACTTTCGGCGAATCCCTTCAACCCGGAATCAAATCGGAATATGACCTGAATTGATCGGAGAAACATGGCTTCCCAACGAGCTCTATTTACGGCGAGCCGCACGCAGACCTTGACCTACTTGCTAGCCGTCTGCCCGTTTTCAATTGCTTTTCTAGTCTATATCAACTCCTCCATCTCGTTTGTGGTCACAGAATTGATTGGATTGCATGATGGCGAAGGAGATGCCGTCGGAACCCTCGGGTTTGCAGATGAATTACTTGCGCTGGTCGCTTGTCCTCTGTGGGGGGTGCTTTCGGACCGCATAGGTGTCCGCCATGTACGCTTCCGTTCACTCTTGATATAGTTCTGACCTAGAAACCTCATTTTCTTCCCTTATAGGTTTGTGTGGCTGGCTATGGCATTATAGCCGTCGCATTGGTTGTATTTGTCCAATCCAAGAATGTTTACCCGCAACTTCTTCTGGGACGGTTGTTATTTAGTATCGGCGGCTCTGCGGTCTCGACCATGGTGACGGCAGTTCTTCCAACTGTGACCGGGAGCTCCGACGAACAAGAATCTAGCGAGACAGTGAACACGCAAAATGGTTTCAACCATGAAGCATCATCTCAAGCCCAATCAGACGGCGAAGCGAACACGCCTTCCTCTCGATTGGCTGGATTCGTAGGAATGTGCGCTGGCTGCGGCGCCCTTGTATCTCTTGTTATATTCCTTCCACTTCCCGCCAAATTCCAGACACTCGGTTTATCGCCATCAGAAGCCATTCAGTGCAGCTACTACATAGTCGCTGTAGTTGCTCTCCTGGTCAGCATATGGTGTCTATTCGGCCTCCGGGATCTTCCCGGCGAAGAAAGGAAGACATGGAACTCACTCTGGTCGACTCAAGATGAAGATGATTATCCGACATGTACTGTTGGCGGCAAATCACGCCTCCCGTATTTGGACCGATTTGGCGCTGCTATAGTTCTGGGATGCCGCCACAGTGACATCCTCATAGGCTACATCGGAGGGTTTGTAGCACGCGCCTCATCAGTGGGGATCTCGTTGTTTATCCCCCTTTTTGTTAACCACTATTACCGAGTCCTGGGCGCCTGCAATGACGACCGCAGCGAAGGGCCCGGAGATATCAAGCACTCTTGTCCTGATGCGTACAAGTTGGCCTCGATCCTGACAGGCGTTTCCCAGCTCGTGGCCTTGATCGCTGCACCAGCCTTCGGGTACTGGTCTGATAAGTCTCGCCGGTACCACCTGCCGCTCCTCCTTGCTTGCTTGGCCGGTGTGATCGGATACACGGCGTTCCCACTTCTCCCCACACCCAAGTTCAGCGGAGAAGGCGGAAGTCCGAGTGTATTTGCCATAATGAGTTTAATCGGTATCAGTCAAATTGGAGCGATTGTCTGCAGCTTAGCCGTATTAAGCAACGGCATCCTGGGTATCAGTCTAAATGAGGAGATCCCGAGGCAGGCGTTCGACGCTGAGACAGAACCATACGCTGAAGTCAGTGCTTCTCGAGCCAGCGACATGGACAGCGGCGCAGACCGGCAGCCACTACTCGCAAGGCCCAGGAATCAAAGACAGCAGCAGTTGTCCCATTTGAAAGGATCAATAGCCGGCGTGTACTCCTTGTTTGGTGGTGCAGGTATTCTCCTCCTGACTAAGCTGGGTGGTCTCCTCTTCGATGTTTTGTCTTCAGGTACTCCGTTCTACATCATGGCTGGTTTCAATGGTGCATTGCTCCTGGCGGGCATTGTGGGTTGTCTTGTCAAGCGCTCGAGGTAAAGTGCATTCTTTGGAGGTTACTTAGATCTTATATACAGAATGTTCATTTTCCTTTCATGTCATCTTCTCGCATCTGTTTCAGAAATATATCCATGCAAATCACACATGCCCCAAATTGGCGCAAGAGGACAAGAAGGTAAAACGGAATTCAGTTCACCAGTTGCACGGAAGGCATTTTCATCCGGAAAGAACACATGAATCGTAAACTATTTGATTTTCTACCGTGTCTCTAGTCATAATTCAGTTCATAGCTGCCTATTTCCGTAATACCCTCCCTCACTTCTTATTTCATTGGAACATCCCCGTTGGCGGTCGTGAATGCTTCGGCCCGTGCCCCTGCTTGCGCTGCTCATCGCCTAATGGGCGGACTTCCAGTCCTGCACGGATGATATTAGTCCGCAGTAATCTTATATGTGCCTCATCAATATAACTTGATAAACTCTCCAACACGGCTTCCTGCACTTCCGTCCGTTGGTCGGTCTGATTGGATACCAGGACCATCTTTTCCAGGTCGATCCGAGAGTCCAGGGTTCCGTCTTGGATAAGACCGATCAATTCTTGTACAAACGGAGACTTTGAGTGGATAGGTTGAGCCGGCTCGCTGGTAGCTGCGGGAGCGAAGATCTTGGACATAGAGTCGAGGGTAACACGGCTGAAAGGAACCAGATACTGCTGGATGGACTTAGTTCGAATGCGAGTGTAGAGTGTGCTGACATGACGTTGCAAATGGACGTCTAAAAGGTAATCGGTTTGGTAGGATTCCAGGATATCCAGACATGGCCGGAATTTGGAATTGCAGAAGAAAGAGATCGCCCGGCGGATATGAGGTTCCAGCTCGAGGAAATTGCGGAATGAGCCATTGTCTAGCACACGCCGCTGAAGCTCATTGCGATCCATGGATGCAAGCGCGCAAAGTCCACCATAAACGGCAACATCGTTAGACGTGAGCACTTCGTTGTACGAGTCACCTAGAGTCGGGTCTGTGCTCAAGAAACTATTGGCAGCGTCTAGATACGCGCCAGAGTGCAACTGGGACAAACCCATCGCAGCTGACATCTTCGGCTGGTTCTTAGCCTGTTCCTCTTGTTTTGATTGTAGGTTGCGTAGCCTTTGCACATGAGACTGGACACTCAGCCAATCCCCACGCTCGATGGCTACATTTATGATTTTAAACAACATTGAGGCGATATGGCTCGGAGTCGTACAGTAATCTCTCATGCGAGAGTAAGCCTTCGAAGCTGACACCAAGTCACCAATTTGATGGTAGTGCTGTCCGAGGTCTTCATTGCCCATCTGTGATTTCAGGTCAGAACATATGCCGAGGTATTATAGAGCGCTGCCATGAAACTTACTCTTATACTCTCTTTAATAAGGTTGTTCTTATACCCTCTCAGTTCATGCTCTAGCCGATCGGTCTCCGCCTTGACGACCTTCCGTGTACGATCTACCCACTCCTTGTCTGGTGTAGCTTCAGCCTCATATGGGGTAACGTCGGCGAGTGCACGGACTGCGCGTTCGTATCGGGAAACATCTTTGCTTGATTTGGCTTCGATAATCGCAGCCTTCAGTGCTTCGTTGGAGAGATATGTGGAGCACGTGCCTATTAGAAACAGGCGATTGAATTTGGTTCGGCCTGGAAGTAGCACATCAGTTAGCTAAAGATTGACGTAAGAAAGCGAGCGTCATACCAGTATAATTTGCAATGTAAGATTCCAATTCAAACTTAGGTGGATCTGTTTAGCAAATTAACACCTCTTCCACTGCAGGCAAGCACTAATCGGTTTACTAAAGCAGACTAGAAAACCGTACCATCAACCTTCACAAACGGCACCGCAGTAGTCGCAACTCCGTTTATACTCTCTAAGTCGGGGTTCCCTGCACCGTGTAATTGTCCCACATATGGACTTGTCGGATGAGAATCGAAAGCATCGTGTGGCATAGATTCCATCTCGCTGAAGTTTGCATACACCCTACGCCTGCAGAAAATGGACAGTATTAAGCAACTGTTTCACTCCTGAAATTCTCTTGTGCCGAAACGAGAACAGTTGGCGACTGTCGCGATATGCCGCACGTCAATGTGGAGTAACTCTTGGTTACCCAGACAGCGTTAGTGAAGGTCACCGTAGTGAATATGGAGATGATTGATAGCTGAAGTTTCGGGCAGGGAGTGATAGCTATTTCAGAGGTACTAAGTAGAGCCGTGTATGTGACGGATGTGGAGAAAGAGAACAATGATCTATCAGATGGTCATCATCATATCAACAACGCACTTATCTCCGCCTACGTCTTCACCGCCTCCACGACCGCCTTGAATCTCAAATATCTACACGAAACATAACTATCAAACGACATGATTGGTAACTCACCCTGCCCCTACAAGGGCGTTTGAATTGTTATTTGAAGGCATAAATAATCTACACTGGAATAGCCCCCTTCCCTAGTAATTTATTGCGATTGATACTTCATGATAATGAAATACAGGTCTTCATCGCCGCAACTCTGCAAGAGAAGACGAAGACAAATCAAATTCAAGCCCGAGTAGGGTACAGACAGTCAGATTCAAGATCTCTTCTCTTCACCTTCCTTTTTTCTTGTCTTTTTTTTTCTCTTTTTTTTTTTTTTTTTTTATCACATCCTGCTTTATCAGTACTGGAAAACCA